GAAGAAGCAATGGACAAAGAAAATAGTTGTAAAGAGAAGACTGAGACGTTCTGTCTCTCTTCTCTGTTGAAAATGAGGGTATGTATGTTGCTCGCTGTAGTGGTGCAGCTTCCCATAGCCCGGCTGCATATGCACCGGGTCAAATAGTCAGAAGCAGCGATGCTGTTCTGTTGGTATCAAGTATTCCTCCTCCTGCAGTAGTCAAGCAAGCCAGTTTAGTACGTCTCCTCTTCGACGAGCTGATCCTGAGCGCCCATAATAGAACTCCTCAGGCCCATTGAGCTTCGTCTCCCCGAGACGCTTCCACCACTTTGCCGCCTTCCACTGGGCATCGGGATGCCGCTGGTGGGGGCCGGAATACCGCTCACGGAGTTTTCTGCCTCCAGGCGAGAATATGTGCCTCTCCTGCTAGGTGTTCTGAACTCGCCATTCTCGTCGCCCTCTTCAATGTCGATGCGGCTGCTGATACTAGCAGAGCGCGCGTGCAAGTTGCCACCCAGGGAGCTACGAGGACGACCCAGGGGTGTCCGGGTACCTGACATACTGGTGCGGCTGATGGGACGGGGCGGTGCCATTTCTGTGCGACTTGATGGCCTGGCGTACGACGAGATGCTAGCTCGTGAGCTCGGCCGAGACATTGTAGAATCGCTGTGTTCGTGACCAGCCGTTGGGTTCCGGTTCGGTAGCGGGCCAAAAGACAGGCGGCTGACACCTGACGTGCTGAGACGAGGTACATGCTTGGATCTTGTGCTGGCAGAGAAGTTGGGGTTGGATGGCGTAGTGTCGTCACCCCGGACTGATGAGGAGGTGGAGCCACTGGGACGCTTGCGTGAGCGGATAGTAACCGTTGACGGTACGCTGTGGACTCCGAGAACCGAGGAGCGGGGCGAAGCTCGAGGAGGTGTTGTGACGGGGGCAGGAAGTTTGGATCGTGCGTTGTGTACGCGAGCTTCCAGACGCTGCATCTGAGCCGTGAGGGTTCTGATGTGTGCGAGAGAGTTGTTGGCAGGCTTTGGTGGCATGCGCGTGGAGATGGAGCGAGGGGCGGTGCGAGGGGCAGGCGTGCGAGTCGGTGCCCCCGTGGAGGGACGACCTCCAGACGGCCGGCTGCTGCTGACGGATGTCGTGAAAGAACGAGGCTTGGGCGTGATGCTGTGTTCGGTGGACGGCAGACGCGATTTGCGAGTCGCCGATGCCGGAGTCTTGGCAGGGGTCTTGAGGGGTGTTCGGGAGACGATCCTCTTGGGCACAGAGGCAGAGACGTCGGACATTGGCGGGGATGGAGGCTCGCTGATTTGGGCGGTTTTGGCAGCCGGGAGGGCTTCCGCATCGGGCGGGGTCGATACCATGGGCGAGCTCGCGGTCGAGCCGGGGGAGGCGTCCAGAGTCTTGTCGAAAACGGGGGATGAAAGGACAGAAAGGTCGGTGGAAATTGCGGACAGGTGACGTTGCTCCTGCTTCTTGATCTTGTCTTGGAGAAGCTCGGCCTCGATCTTGAGGTCGGAAAGCTCTTCGCGCAGGCGTTGCGCCTCGATGCGCAGCGTCTCTCGCTCCTGTTCGCCGATCCTAATTTCCTCCTCGTTCATGACGTTGCGCTCGATTGCACTGTTAAACTTGGACTCGAGGTCCTCGAGAGACGAGCTGGTGTTTCGTGCTTGTCTCTCGAAATCATCGTTGGCAACCTCGATATCGCGGAGCTTGAGCTGGAGTGTCCTGTTGGTGTCGCGCAGAGTTGTGATTTCCTTCTCGAGGGTGTTTTGAGCCGCATTCGCATCCTTCTTGGCTTGATTGTATTTTGACTGTAGGGTAAAGTGAGTCAGGACTGGACGTCTCTCGACATGTGTTATGCGCGCCGACAAGCGGAAACGGGCGGGGCGGGTGTGATCTCACCTTCCACTCCTCGACCTCGAACTTGAGGCTCTCTGCCTTTTCCTGGAGTTTGCGCTCCCTCTTTTCGGCCTGCTCGATGTCCTTCTCGAGCTCCTGTTCTAGCTCCTTGCTGGATTCCCTGAACTCCGACAGTTCCTCCTCGAGTGATGCGTATTGAGACTTGTACCAGCGCAGCTGGTCATCGGGGCTCATCGCCTCGCTAGGCGGTGAGGATGGTGGCTCTGCCATGGTTGTTGTGATTGTGATGCCGTCGCGATGTTTATTCGGATCGCATGTGATGCTCGGCGGTTATCGGGTGAGTAAGGGTGGTTGGTTGTGGGCGCAAAAGGTGCAGAGTGGGGGCACTTGTTGCGGTCGCAAATAGAAGTTGTTGAATTGATACAAAGGGAAATTGTAGTCGTCGATGTGAATGATCGTAAAAGTCGTCAAATGCGTGCTGTTAGGTCGTCGTTAGCCTCCTATCGCTTTCCACATCTGACGCGATCGAGGGTTCAAAATATGGCACGTACCGACTCTTGTTTTGTTGGGGGGTTGGGGGTGTGGTATCAAAAGGACGAAGTCGAAATGGAAGAATAGAAGGGTCCCGGATTGTCGCGTGGGTGGTTGTCGATGTCGATATTGGGCGGCGAGGACTTACCTGTGTCGTCGTCGGTCGGGGTGGTTGGTGCCCGTTGTTGTTGGTCGATTATCGGTGGCCGTGGTCGCTGTTTGTCGAAGTCGTCGTCGTCGTCGGTGTCGAGATGTCGGCGGAAGAGAGATGCATCTGCACGCTCGCTGTCGGCGACACTTTCAGGGACTGGACTGACTGGACACACTGCTGGGCATGGCTAGGACAGGACGGGAACAAGACAGGAAAGGGAAAGGTCGGTGCAATGTTGATGTCGGTCAGGCGTGAGTGGGCGTGGAGTGGGCGTGTGGGAGACGGGCGTGTGTGGTCGTCGTTGTTGCTGTTGCGGGTTGCCCCCTGTCGCCCCTTGTCGTGGCAGAGCGCTAGTCTTGTTTGGGGCTGGGCTGCAACCACGGGCAACAAGAGGCGAGTGGCTGAACCTGATTATGTAATGGCTCCACCTTACCTAAGGTTGCTGCCGCAGCAGGAAGACACACAGGAGAAGACGCAGGAAGGGACTCCTGAGGTCGGGCCTGCCAATCACAGAGTTGAATGGGGGGACCTTGATGGTGGAGAGTGTGTCTTTTTTTGGCAACTGCCCTCAAGAGGAAACAGCTGCTCTCATTGCTGTGTGTACGTACCGCCACACCTGTCCACCACTTTCTATCACCATGTGAAAGATACGTACCTTTAACTTCCATGGTGTGTGCTGTCGCTGCCCCTCCTTCGTCATTTTACTCCTGCAACATCCGCTGGCAGTACGGAGCAGAGGAGTCATTTCAAGCTTCAACCACCCGCATTATTTCTTCAATCAACCTCTAGTCTTTCTTACCAGGCCATACCCAACTCCTTCGTCCATCCACCTTGGGCTCTCAAGCTCTCTCTCTCAACATGTTGACGGCGAAGCTGTCCCAATATGGCTGGCGGCGATGATCCACATTGCAGTGGGGGCATCTTGTACAATGCGCCATGCGAAAACCAACTTGACCTTGCAGTCGTTCAGATGTATAGGTGGAAGCAGTGGCAGAGCAAACCAACACACCAGAAATCATGTGTCTCACTTATTGTCCGCCTTCGTCAAATCGGACGCCCAACAGCCACTCCCGCGTCATTGTTTTCTGACCTTCTGCAAACGCGCCGTGAAACTCTGCCGGTGACTGAGCGCAGCTTCTAGACGGACTCAGCAACTCTACCTACCAATAGGCCAGACCAAAGAGACTTTGACCCCCAATCCCAATCCCATCCTCGGATGACGACGGGTCGACGGCTGCGAGCAGGGCCGCTCCCGGCCTGACTTGATCACTGTATCAGGGTCATCCCAAGTTTCGGTTCATGCAATGCACTGATCCTTCTCGGCCCACCACTGGCACCAATTCCCTTTTGCTGGGCTGCCCACCTGGTCGGTGCTTGCTGCTGCTTGTTTTCGCAGGCTCGCTGGGCTGGGCCCTCTGGTCTCTGCACGGCATTGGACACCGACTTGTTGGACAGGCTCTGAGGTTGCTTTGCACTGGCGCAGCCGCGTTGGCGCCGATCGAAGCTGCGATGCCGAATGTCCTAGCCTCTCGGAGAGAAAAGAGCAAGTCACATCACTCGCGGGAGGCAGCAGAAAGGTTCGGATGCCATGTTTCAGACGCCAAAGCGCCAAGGTCCAGTGTCCCATCCGCATGACACTGGGAATCCATTGGTCTCATGCCCACCACCAACTCTGCAGAGTCAAGAAGGTCGCCAATCTACTTACCCAAATCCTAGGTCATCCGCTCATGCAGTTGACCTTACAAAAATTACCGATTCACTAGTTCCGAGTTGCACTAGTCCAACGGATACGCACGCGGGAGATCCTCCCCAACGAGCAGGGAGCTCCGTTCCAGCGCTCCGCGCATCTTCCGTCGCCAATTTCTGCCCGGCCGGCGATCGTCACACCCGTCGCAGATACAAGTCGACGCCTCCGTCCTCATGTCGCTTCCGATACAACCGTCCAATCGATATCGACATGACGGACCGGACGGCCGGTGCAAATGCAACCTCTCGGCGGACCCTGATCTATTCATCCAAAGATCCATCTCTCGCCGATACCACGGCCCTTTGACCGAAAAAGGCTTCCAGCTTCATAAGTCTCCAATGTTTCACGCCAACCGCTCGGAAGTGGCGGTCATAGTGCCGACCTCGGGCCATTTGCGCCCTGCAGTCAACGTCCGTTCGCCGCGGCACTGAAATCTCGGTCGCCAATTAAACGTGGGAAATGAAGGGTCCATGTGTTGCTGCTGTTTTTCAATCTTTGATTTTCACCCGAATTCTCGTCAAGGCCCGACTTCGCAAATCTTACCGGGCAAACGTCCGTATTCTGAGAGCACAACGAAGTCATCTTGTGTATCTGCATTTCCCTCAACTCGAGATTGAGCTAATGATGAGACGATCACCCGTAGAAATATGAGCAACCTCAAAGCTTCGAAGCCCTACCGTCCATTAACGAGAGTGGCTGCGATCATCAATAGTTCTAGCCTTTTTATGCTTGGAGCTCTATGTATTGCTTGGACAATGGCGCACCGCCACGCACAATAGTCCGAGAACCATCGGGGAAAACAATTTGAGCCTCAGCATTTTCAGCACTAGGGTATTCCACCAATACCGGATCTGTGATACTGCCGTTCCGCCATTTCAACGTCACAAGCCATCCTCCCTTGGTTCGGGCCCGTGAAAGCTCACCATCGGGCCAGCTTGTAGGACGTGACGGGAGTAGTCGAATCTCGACCACATGCGTCTCTGTGGTATCTTGCAAGACGCTGGACTGAACCAAACACTCGAGGATGCCAGTACACCCACCAAAATTGCCGTCAATCTGGAACGGCGGGTGATTATCAAGCATGTTCGCCAACGTCGAGCTCTTGAGCAACATATCCATGTGCTGGCCGCAGCCTTCGGCATCCAGGAGTCGAGCATGGAGATTGAGCAACCAAGCCCTGCTCCAACCCGTGTGTCCGCCTCCATTCGCTGCTCTTCGCTCCAACACTCTTTTCGCAGCAGCAGCCAGCTCTGGAGATCTCGAAGGGCTGATGCTTTCTCCCGGGTACAGTCCAAACAAGTGGGAGACATGCCGATGGCCCGGCTCCAGCTCTTTGTAGTCCTTTACTCCCCACTCTTGAATCAAGCCGTCGGCGTTGATAGACAACTCGGGCACCTTGCCGAGGGCCCCCTCCACCTTGGTTCGCAACTGGCTATCAACGTGCAGTTTATCAGTGCTCCAAAGATATTTCTCAAATGCTATTCGAACAATGGTCATGTCGATGGCGGAACCTTCGCAAAGGATACCAGCATCGCCCGAATCAGAGATGAACGTATTCTCGGGTGATAGCGATGGGTTCGTGACCAAGTATTTGCCGCAAGCTGACGGCGTTAGGAAGTCGAGAAGAAAAACAACACAGCCCTCCAAGACAGCCGCCGCTCGTTTGTGAAGGGCCTCATCGTACTGATACTGCAAAATCTCAAACACGTCGATACAAACCCAGACGCCTCCGAGAGGCCAGATAGTAGAGGGCATCCATCGGTCTTGAGGATCTGTATCTGCCCAGATATCCGTGTTGTGATGCGCACACCATCCGTCACAGCCATACATGGCCTTTGCCGTCTTCTTTCCCCGCTCCGCCATCCGCTCTAGCAAATCGAGCATCGGAACGGAACATTCGGTCAAGTTACACGGTCCGGCCGGCCAATAGTTCATCTGCAGGTTGATGTTGATGGTATACTTGCATCCCCACGGTGGAGCGAAAGAAGGGTTCCAGATGCCTTGCAGCGTTGCGGGCAGCGCCTTCACAGAGTCTCGGCTTGACGAGATGAGCAGATACCTACCATAATTATGGTATAGAGCAACCAGTCCAGGGTCTCGGTTTTGTTTGATTCGCTCATCTGTCGGGAGATGATTGGCATCGGGCCACATCCGAAGTATCGTTCTCCCAAAGAGGTTCCGGTAGTCCATCTGATGACGCTCAACCAGTGTGGTCCACGGACTCTTCAACGCCTCGAGGACATCACGCATAGCGGCTTCTTCGGGTTCATTATCTCGATAGGTCGTTTGAGCGCCAATGGCAATCGTACACGCTGAAGAGGTTACCACCACACAGTTACCGACACTCTCCACGGACCCTTCCGCATCGTCGCAGGAAACCTTGAGAACAGTAGACAATCGATTGCTGTTCTGTCCGCCTGGCGTCGCACTCAGTGTAATCTGTCCATCCTTTGCGTCGATGCTGTCCAGGAACTCGTTGGTCTCCCACTCAATCTCGCTGACTCGGTTCAGCCGAACGACAAATCGAGTAGCTTCCGATGCTGTGATCCTGAACGCCAACGCATTGTCCGGGAAGCTGGCGATGGCGACTCGACGGTAAGATGCGCCCCGACACTGGTACTCGACAGTTGTCTGCGCGGTCTCTAGACATAGGTATCGGCGGTAGTCCGTCACATCCTCAGTGGCATGGCCGAACTCGATGGTGCAAGTACCTAACGGTTCATAGTGCCGCATGCTCGCGGGCGTCGCGAAGAAGGCCTCTCTCACAAGAGACTCGGCCTCGGCGTGCTTTTCATCTCGGATCAGCTGTCGGAGTTTCCGCAAGTGGCGAAGGGCGTCTTTTGGGGTCCTGTCCTGTGGCCCGCCGTACCACACCGAGTCCTCGTTCAACTGCAAGAGCTCGGTGGAAGTTCGCCCATAGACCATGGCACCCAGCCGCCCGTTGCCGATTGGTAGAGCCTCAGACCATTCGGAGGCGGGGGACTGGTAGTGGAGACGCGAGGGAGTGGGAGATCTGCCCTCGCCGGAGCCGGAGCCGAAGCTCTCTAGACCAAGGACGGGGGGCATTTCGCCCTGGAACGACGTGCCGGTATGCCGGTGCCCGGAATAGTCCAGTTCGAGGAACGGTCTGGTCTAGTCTGGGCTCCAAGCTTCTTGGAAGAAGGGGTTGGTTGGGGGAAAGACAAAACTCTGATGAGCTGGTGATCAGAATCTGTTCTGGCCTTTGAAAGTCCCTCTTTCAGAGACGATGAGAGTCGAGCGGCCCTAGGCGACTTTAACCCCAGACAACCCACGATCGACCGGGGTAGATGCCTCGGCGTCGTATCATTTGAGGAAAATTGGCTCGGGGAGTGTGGGGTAGCCGGCCGGCCGTTCGTCTCGAGCCAATCATCACGGGTGAAAGCAGCCCGAATATGCTCATTCCGGAGGGATGTGATGGCTGGTCTGATCCAACTGCATGTCTACAGCCGCTCCGGCCAATCATCATCGGACAAAGCCGATGTGGTCTGAGCTGTTGGGTGGATCTTGGGGAAATACAGAGGTTACTCTGGACGCGAAGGAAGGCAAATCGGCAGTGAATCTGGACTGGTTCGTGCTGCAAGGAGCATCTCATGTGAACCACATGGCCAGTTGGAACGTCTGAGAGTCTGGGGATCGCATCCCTCTTCAGGGTTCGAGGCCCAGCTATCGGAAGGCCATTCCGTGTTGCACCAGAAGGGTAGCAGTGCAGGATGAAAGCAGCCATCCTGGACGTATCTCCCGCTCCCAAAGCTGAGGTTGGGGAAGCTCTATATATCCGCCAAGGCACCGCTGCAACCTGAGATCCCGCTGACCCAGAGACTCGGGCTTCTCGTTTGTTCACCAGCGTCTCCCTTTGCCTCCAGCCCGACCTGTGGAGACTTCATACGAAACAGTCTTCCTCGCCAAAGCAAGAACGCTTAGCCTACGATGGCGCCCCGAAAAGAGGTTGACCACACGGTCATCTATCACGACGATGTCGCCCAGGCGAACAAGATTGGTGTTGCCGTCGAAGAAGTTGCGGCAACTCGCATCTCGGAGGCCGACATGATGCGCAAGTCGGCCGAAGCCCTTACACTGAAGTCCAAGACTGGCTTGTACATCTTTGGCTACATGGTCGTGATGGGTTGCAATCAGGCAGGGTAAGCATACAGGCCGGGCTTATCTATGTGTTGCGTGAGCACGGGGGATGATGGCGCTGACCAGTCCGTGAATAGTTTCGGTATCGACTGGGGTGTCATCAGCGGCATCAACTCCAACGACCGTTGGCACGACTTCTATGGCTTCCCCAACGCCGGCGTCATCATCTCTACGATCAACGCTCTGATGCAAATTGGTGGCTTCCTAGGCGCTCCCTTCCTTAGCTGCGCCGACGTACTCGGCCGCCGCGGTGTCAACTTCCTCGGCAATGCGCTTGTCATCATCGCCGCTATTATGCAGGCTCTGGCCCCGAACCTGGCTTGTCTTTTCATCGGCCGTCTCGTCCTTGGATTCGGTACCGCCCTTTGCACCGCACCGCAGTACGTTGCCGAGCTCGCGCCAGTCCATCTCCGCGGCCGCCTCGTCGGTGTCTTTGGCGCGTGTTTCCAGGTCGGCTCGCTGATGATGATTGGCATCATGATGGGTTTGACGAACTGGGACAGCGACTGGCAGTGGCGGATGGCCTTCTTCATACAGGCCATCTTCCCTCTTTTCGTGTGTCTGACGATCTACTCCTTGTGCCCAGAGTCGCCTCGTTTCCTCTACATGCGCGGCAAGAAGGAGGAGGCCCGTCGCGTTGTGGCAAGGTACATGACGACCGACAACGACATCAACCATGAGATTGTCGACCTCATGATCCTGCAGATTGAGGAGTCTATCGAGACCACAAAGGCTGGTTTCCGCGCCACTTGGGATTTCCGTGTCTTCTTCACCAAGGCTGTGTGGTTCCGCACTGTTGTCCTGGCTGTCTACGCTGTCTTCCAACAGTGGAATGGGTACGCGCTGCCTCTCTGAACACCCTCGCTCTTTAATACTGTAAATACTAACACGAACCACCAACAGTGGCGGAATCATCGGATACTACCTCGCCCCCGCGCTCGACACAATCGGCATCACCTCGCAACTCGACCAGCTCGGCATCAGCCTCGGCTCGACAGCAATCTACTTCGTCTTCACCCTCTTCGGTTCCTGGATCATTGACTACTTCCGCCGTCGCACCCTCATCTTCGCCGGCCTGATCAGCATGATTTGCGCGCAGATCGCCGTCACCATCACGAGTTGGCAGTACAACCTCAGCGAGCAGAAGACGACGGCCATCCTGACGGTCGTCTGGATCTACCTCTTCCAGGTCTGCAGCGCCACCTTCATCGCGACCATGCATAACTTGTACCCCGTTGAGCTGCTCTCGCTGCCGCTGCGCGCCAAGGGCATGGGTCTATTTGCCATGTTCCAGGCCATCGCGGCCGTGGTGCACAACTATGGTATCGGTATTGGTGTCGGGAAGGTTGGGTACAAGATCTGGGCCGTGTACATTGTGTACAACTTTATCCAGATTATCATTAGCTACTACGTCTTCCCTGAGACGAGTAAGCTAAATCTGGAGGAGATTGATACCATTTTCGAGACACCGGGCGGCAAGCCTGTCAAGTTGAGCATCAAGATTGCGGATGCCAAGCAGGAGAAGAGGAAGCTGGATCGCCAGAATGGGGTGTCGCATCTTTGATGCTGGGACTGGTGGACGCGCATGATATGACGCGAGTTATGAACTCGGATTTAGGTGTTGATCTGGGAAGCGTGTTGTTGATAGTCTGTCCTTTGGTTTCAAAGGGCTCCGATATCCAATTTGATTTATTTTGCATCATGGACTTTGACGACTATGTTTGGCAAGTCAATATTCATCAACCAGGTTCTGCCAGTGCCTAACCCATGCATACCATGGCAACCCCCTCAACTTGAACCATACCTCGCCCAGTGAACGAAACCCCCACAGCCACTTCCTATCGTCACAAATGTCCGGCGACCACCCAACACCAAAAGCTCAACCTCCCCATACACCAAGGACAAAAAGACAACAGAATAACGCATCAGAGCGGTGATGAGTTGACAAGAGTGGGATTCGAACCCACGCCAATTACTTGACTAGCACCTGAAGCTAGCGCCTTAGACCGCTCGGCCATCTTGCCTTATGATTCGGTGATGATCTCGGAGCGGTCAAGTCCTCATGGACGATGCGGGTGGTGGGAGGGTGTGCCCTAGTGTGGAGCCATATGCATGCTTTTAGTGTTGTGGATTGGTTGTTGGATCCAGTTTGTTGTGGAACTCGGGGACCTTGTTGGTTGCACCTCTTGGATTCGGTGGAGATGAATGAGGTGGTTAAGAGTCGATTGAGAGGTTGCAGTGTCTTTGGGATCTTGAGAGAGATGAAGTCAATCGCTTTCATGTTCGGGGTGAAGTACATGTAGATGTAGACGAGGAGCCGTAAAGGGAGAAAGAAGATGAGACTGGTTGCACCATTGTAAACTGAGATGCCGAACGCGAAATTGACCCAAAGATAGATACGTCAAACCAAGAGATCACATTGTCAAAGCCAACAAGCAAATGTCTGAACTGAATCGTGAAGTCTACCATGGATATCAACCTTCCATCATCGCATCAAACGTCTAAGAACACAACCCTCAAAACACATACGGCACAAACCTTGCCGTCGAAGCATGCCACCTCTCCCACTTCTCCCCAAACTCATCCCTCAACATCCTCTCCTCCTCCCTCACCCGCGTCCACACACCAAACAAAAACACACAACACGCAGCAGGCCCCAGAACCCACTGTACACTCTGTAATCCATGATGCAACCCAGGCGCAACCCAGCAGCTCAGCACGCCGTCGAGCCTAGCCAGCAGCGCGACGTTGGATAGCACGAGCACCATGACGCCCGTGTAGCTCGGGTGCTGGAGGTAGCTATAAATCCCCGTCGTTTTAAGTTGATCCGGCTTCGTGAGCTGAAAGGTGAAGTTCTTTCCGAGGGAGCGGTAGGGTCCGAGACGGAGCGGGACGCCGAGGAGGAAGATTGCGGAGAGCGGGAGGAGGGTTGAGGCGGACCAGGTTGTTAGGGAGGCGCTGAGACCGTTTTCGGCGCCGTGGCGGAGGATAGAGGCGGGTATGGAGGGGAAGTAGAGGGTTAGGGCGGCAAAGTGGAGGGAGAGGAGGGCGAGGGGGAGGAGGATTACTTTTGGGGTGTGTTTGTGGGTGAGGTTCATCCAGCGGATTGAGTCTGCGTGTGTGGTTTGATGGTGATGTTGGTTGTGGTGGTGAGGGTCGTTTGGGGTTTGAGGTGGTTCGGGGTTGGGGTTTAGGAGGCCTATGTAGGTTCCGAGAGTGGAGGCCAAGATTGCGACCGAGAGTGATGCCTGGGATATAGACATCTTGGCGGTGTTGGACTTGATCTGTAGGGTGAAGATGGTAAGTCGCAGCGGTGAGGATGAAGACGAGTCGTAAGAGGAAGATCCGAGGCATCGCGAGACTATTCAATCCCGCGTGACGCTTGTGGGGTGGCAAAAGCACAGGCCAGCTATACCTAGCGGTACTTTGGTTTGGGTTCTTATCGCGTGTGCCGCAAGGTACTCCTAATATCCTGGACTGTGTCGTCGGAATTACGTCTGGTTCATGCCTCGAGATTAATCCCCGTAATTCATGCAATTGCTTTGATCTAGAGGTGGGATTAAAACTCATTGTGGTTATTGGAAGTCTAGATAAGTCAATAGGAAGGTTGTGGTGATAGGCGTTGGAGAGCGTCTAATGTTGACCTGCGACCACTTATAAGTAGTGTGGCGACTGTCGGTTTGAATCCTTCGTTGCGACGCTCACTAGACCTCAAGAACTAGTATCATTTTCTGCGACTTTCGTAGTAATCTTGAATGAAACTGCGAGAGAGGGATTTTGAGTTTTCATACTTTGTCCGGGCCTTGGGTAAACTACATGCACCTCGTGAGGTTTCCGCAAATCCGCCTCAGCATCTCATGGACAACCCCGCTGAACACCCCTCTGATACAACTCTCAGAGATATCTCATGCCAGGACATCAGCATAGCTCGACTGATAGACCCCCAACACACCAAGTTGATGAGCTGACTTGCCGAAAATAGACTAACTCAGACACGAAGAAATGACCACTGAAGCCTCGCGACTTCTGATGTGCGTGCTGGATTTGCATCTCATTAACTATCGTAGTCATGAGCTGGCCCATGCAACCCAGATCGCTCTAAAACCAAGACCTAGTCTATCTCTCACGGCCTCTACGTCTATGTCAGACAACAGTACATTACAAATTACATGACTATACCTCTCCCTCAATAACCTTGATCTCTGGGCCCTCAATCTGCTTCACCTTCCGGCCTTCCCACCATGACATGAGACCAGCAATCATAGCGACACCGCATCCCAGGCCGATGAAAGTGCCAGTAGCCCAGGACTGTAGACGTATGTCAGTTCAACTCGAGATGGGGGCTATGGGTAAGACATCTCGCCCACACGCAGGATCATGGGCAACTTACAGGTCGATCGAGGCGGTTGTATCCCCACATGAAATAACACAGCACAGCCTGCAAGAACGTATTCCAAACCATCATCCAAATCGTGAACCCCAACTTCCACAGCGGCGTCGGCGGTGCAACCTGTCCAGTAAACTTCTCAGGCGCCTTTTCGCCCTGGAGAGCCCATGCTGGCGGCCGGAACCAGCTCTTGTTCTGCGCCGCGAGCTTGAGCATCGCCGCTTGGTTCTTGAAGTTGACGGCGCGGATGTACCAGTACAGATCGCGGAAGCGCCAGGGCGCGAGACCGAAGCCCGTTACGCAGAAGAGGGCGTTGAGGATCTGACTTGAGATTTCGAGCCACTTCTTACGGGGTGAGTTGTCGTCGTCGGCGGTGGGGTGGTTCATTGCGGGCGCGGCTTTGAGGAGGAGGAAGAAGAGCATGGCCTGGGAGGTGAGTCAGTCTGGCGGCGTCATTTGAGAGATTCACTTGTTTAAACTTACTCCCCAGGCCTAAAGTCAAATTATGTTAGCATCTCAGTCTCAAAAGAAGTAAATGAGGTGAGGGTGGTACATACGACAATGTTGAGACAGTAGATGGTGATGATGAACCCTGATGGCGTGAGGAAGAACTTCCAGAAAGCCTTCAATCCATTGGCGATCGTCGTCTTCCACGGCGCCTTCTCCTCTGCAGCATGCTTTTGATACAGACTTTGTCGTCGCTGGAACTGTTGACCCCCGCTGGGCAGAATACTCTCATCATGCGTCCCCGGCCGTGCTTCATCCGAAGTCTCGTTCAGCACAGCAGGTTCATCCGTTTCCCTGATATTCTCCGACTTATTGTTAAACACATTTCTCCCACCGGCAGACTGCCCATTATTAGAAAACGTAGACGCGCGCCGGCCCGTATTAGATCGGATGAGGGCCAGGTCGCCGTGGAGTTCCTGGACGGCGTAGCGCGCCGAGTGGCCCTGCGCATTGAAGGCGATGTTGTTGCCGCCGGATTCGGGGTCGCGGAGCTCGGTGAGGTTCGGCGCCTGGGCGATTGCTGTGCCGGCGGCCTGCCACATGCCCAATTGCGGGTTCGCGTTCATGATGGAGATGGACGCGCCCCGGACGCGGCCTACGACGCCGCCATTGTCGGCGGGTGAGGGCTCGGCCATTATTGACGGAGATTGTGAGGGTGATGATGATGGGGCTCTTCCTGGCGGTTGCTGCGGTGTCGGATGTCGCGGAACGGCCTCATCAAAAGGTGGGCGGGAGGCCGGTGAGTGAGTCGGGAGTGAGATTGCGCTCTCAGCACACAATCTGCGTCTGCTCACGGAGAGGGCAGTCGAGTTGTCGCAACTGGATAATGCAGAGACGCCTCACAGATCGCGGGGAGTCGAATTGCAAACAATTGTTTATGTCAGATGAAAGAACTTTGGTCCCCTTTTCCCTTTCCCAGGAACACTCATCACCATGAAGAACCTGCAAAGAGAAATGCGCCATGCCATCACGTGGGGGCTGAGCGACAGCGAGCTTTCCGCGTATTCCAACCCGACACCCCGACGTGTTGGCCGGCCGGAACCCGCGAATAAGTCGAGTCTAGTCAAGTTCAGTCCATTGGGAAAAGTCTAATTTGCTGTCTATTGCCCCTACCAGGCTCTGAATGCAGATCCTGGGTTGGCTAAGTGGGCAATTGGGTGTGGGAAAAGCCAAGACACTGCCGTGATTAGCTAGCCCGCATATCTCGTTTTCCCCGTCCCCCCCGAATCCCCGCTGTTTTCTCGCATCCTAATCCGGCTTGGCCAGACTCGCTCTCGCTTGCAATTGAACTTTTGAAGAAGACTTGTCCCGGCAGCGCCGCTGATGCCCTGAGTCGCAGGGCCCTTTTTTCTGTGGTGATGATCTGATCAGGTGGTTGGGTGAATTTGACGCCGTGGTTCCGGCGCTAAACTTCAACGTCATGAGATAGGACTCGTGATGAGAAGCTCCTGTAACGTCAGTGAGATTTCTTTCCATCATTTGAGTTTGTTTACTCTCGGCCTCCGTCACTACATAGATTTTGAAGCACATGATACCGGCAGAAGTGAGTTTCGGTCCGCGAGCCCGGGTCAATCAAGGTTTACTTCTCCAAGTCTTTTTCTCTGCGACAGGTTACTCTCTTGCTAGCCGCCGCCATCCGGCTGTAGCTCATCTAGGTATCATGATCTTCGGAACCGGAGGAAAACACCTTTTGACACTACTTTTTGACTACCAGCATAGATACTCATTAGAACAGGAGCAAGGCCTGCCCAGTAATAAAAGACGCGATGGCATAGAAAGAAAAATCAGCTCTTTGTTCTAACGAATGACTATTGCCGCCCTTCCAACGCGTCCACATCCCGGCACACCAAGTACCAGGCTACAAAGGGCACATCTGTGTTCAGTCATTAAAGGAAGAAAACTTTTGATTGTCTACCCGCACCACTATGAATGGGCGTTTTTACCGCCATGATGACCATAATCCAGGTGAGTTGATCTAGCCATTGAACAGTTGACATACTCTTAGGAACTGGTTCAGCCCCATGCTTGCCAACTGACGACTGCCCAAGATGTTTAGAGCACTTCTTTGTCAGTACATCCCATGCTAAGACAACAATCCGTAGGTACACCGGACCAATACCACACCAGCACATGTGACACTGGCAGCATACCTTACCACTCAATAGCTATGATGAACAACACATGATTTACTGCTTTGAGTCTTTGGTAGAGCTTGAGCTTCATGTCGTCAACATAACTGCAAGGCCACTTCGGAATCCCAGGTTCCCAGCTTTAATCAAGGAAAAGGATGCGCCAGCTTTGTTTTTGGTGTTCATCTACCGCATCATGGGTGGCTGGATCTTACGAATACACTCAACATCTGTTTACTCATCTTTGTCCATTTGGCCTAACTGACTGGATCCTGATGATGCGACCTGGAGTGCTGGTATCCCTGCTATAGCCCATGGCGTAACATGAAAGACGCTGCAAAGGACTTCAGGGAAAAATATTACCGTTCTAGTTCTCGTGCACATTCGAAAGCAAAACGTTGTTAACAAGATTGAAACTACACCAAAAGTGTCCATTAGACGAGTTATGATCCCAAGCAAATCATGGGAGCCGTGAACACAGACATCAGAACAGAGGACTTTCAGCTGGAGCGCCTTGAGATTTGTGATTCGGAGAACCTTGATCATCCAGTCAATGACCAGCCCATCCGGGGTGCATCGTTTCCCTCGCTCCCAATTGAGCTTCGAGCCGAGATTTGGTGGCTTACCACTGAAAAGAGACTCATTCACTTGGACCCCACTAAGAATCATAATGCTCCGCCAACTCGCCCTCACGCCGCCGCTACCAACCAGGACAGTCTGCAAGAGCTTCAGAACCGCCTGCCGCGCATATTGATCGATCGGAATGAAGAAGAACCGGGTACTGAGAACATGCCTCGTCAAATCTACTTCAATAAACGGACTGACGTACTTTGTCTGGGATCCTGGACAAAGGATGAGGACAGAGAAATAATTCGTTTTGACGACTTCACGGTTGGTAGATATCATAGATTGGTGATGCCTCCCTCCCCAGCTATCTCACGATATTGACAACGGAATTCGAGAAATTCGCATCTATGGCGATGAATGGCCAGCCCGACAACGCTTCCGAGTTCCCAACTCAGATAAGAAATTTGCTTTGCTCAACACCTGGAATCCGCTTCCTTTGGACAAGTTTGTTTATCCAAACCTCGAAACAGTCCATATCACAGAGCTTGAATAGGCAAACGCATATATGCCTCATCAGTGGGGAAATCACGTTGTTATCCGGTACCTCAAACACCACTCGAAAGATTTGGAAACTGCATACATCAGCAAGGCCGAAGCCCCTGAAAGCAAACGCGACCCATTTTGCAAACAGCTCCGCGATGAAGGTTCGAAGACAAATCGGGAACCTGGAGACGATTGGAAGGACGTGATGATCCGTGGTGAGATTACCAGGGAGACCGATGATAAGAACTGGATTGACCTTCTCGACGGAACCGGGAACAGGAAATGGGAGGAAATACGATTCGACCATAAAACTCTCCCTGACCGAGCGGATACGGACATCATATTTGCACGACGACACTTTTATGAAATGTTCGTATCGATCTGCACCGAGCGGCTCTTGGATAGGGAGAAGTATCCAGATTTCAGCGCACCCCAACCTCTAAGTTACTCCCTAGGTCATTGATGAATTCTGAAGTTGTAGATATTTCAGAATGCTGCGGGAACACACGCCAGCTCTCTCGTCATCCAAATAGATATTTAACATCTCGTTCGGTATAAGGTACCTTGGATTTCGCATTGATAAACATCCGTTTTCCCTACAGCGGAAACGTGCTGGTGAATGGTGATCAAGGCATAGGTCTGCTCGAAATGGTCCAAGACAGCTGCTATTTCTGAATTCTGACAAGATGTCATCGGAGTGGAAGGCGATAAACAAGAACAACAAGAGCCGGACCACCCGGTATGAACCACCCGATTTACAGGCGAGTAGTTCTGCTTGCTGATAACTTCGTCATCCATAGATCAAATTGAATCATTCAGCGCTGAAAACGTACTTATCAAGCTAGCGTACATTACAAAGGGAGATATACAATTCGAAGCCAGCTCAATAATTATCGGAACTACCTTAGTCTAGAGACTAGAACAAGCAAAGGCTCGTTTAGAAAATTGATTCACGTTGAAAGGAGGCCTTTCAAGAGTGATGAACCACAGCTGGTGACAGAGGATACATGTGTACTGAATTCAGGAATGGGAATCGTCGTGTAGTTGCTAATTGTTATTATGACTTGAACGCCTACAAGAATCGCACCCGCGGCTGTACAGTGTTACCGCAAAGCTTAGCAAAATAATAAGTGTATGACATACACTTTTTTTTTTTGGGGTAGAACGCTAAACAATTAAGCTTCATTCGCTTTCGGATTCTAACTGCATTTCGAATAGTTCCAACGCGTCGTACAAACGAAGAAGTTTCCAACAACCCTCAACTTCGTACTCGTGTTCTACACAAGTTTGTGGTTCTCGTGAAGCCTTGACGGAATCTTTGAAATTCGTGCGGCTGGATACTCCAAGCTTTGGAACGGGGTAGTTAAAAAACAGCCCCCTCCGCAACTGAGTCTTTGTGCAGCGGCTTTGTGGTCAAAGACAAATGCGGCCTTCCTTGCTGGTTCCCGACAACCTTGGGTTAAGAGTCTTCAATCCCCAAGAAAACAAGGCCAAGATCCGGTGAAGGCTAAATGAAGTCTCTGAGGACCGGAGAGTTCTTAATCAAGTAAATCCCCCAACATCAGCACACTTTGTGCATGCTCTAGGTACAGCCGAGCTGACGCCACTGTTTCGGACCCTATATCTTCTACTCAACAGAGCAACTGTTCAGCACTATGTTCATAAGGCGAGGGGTAATTAGATACACGACAGATCAAGAGTCTTTGAGTGAAGGAGTCTTTGAGTGACCGGAGGCGGATTGCTGGTGAAAAGGCCGTCAGTTCAGAAACCTGAAACTAACTAACGATGTGACCCTCAACCACAGAAGGGAAGCTGCGACATCAGGTGGACCCCTACTCCGACAAGTTTCGACCGTGGCGACGCCCGCATCTTTAGCTTTAGGCTATATTTCGATAACGAACTCGAACGGCTCGCTAGTCAAGTGCCGAATGGATCGGGCGGCTGTGTAGTTCATACGGCCGGCCTGGTGCAATACAGACGGGATCTAACGTCCTATTACTACCCCATCGCCCGATGCCTTGCGCAACCCGCTTATCCTTTTCGCCGACCTTTGACCCGTTCACTATCTTCTCTGCTCTTAAGATTCGTTTAATAGTTCAGTGCCTGGGGCACGAACTTGATCTTCAAGATGCTCCTCCTCCTTGTGGCGTCCACAATCATTTCCTTGATTGGCCCGTTTGCTATCGCTTCGAGAGCTGGCTCAATACAAGTAGAGTATAATAGACATCCACCATCGGGATGGAAACTCTCCCGTCCCACAGACCCGAATCATCGATTCAGCATATCCATCGCAGCCGATAGAAGCGGCCACGTAGAGCGGGCCCTCTACAGTGTCTCGACTCCGGGACATGAGCTTTACGGCACGCACCTCTCTCGAGAGGAGGCACAAGCCCTCCTCAGTCCCGATACAGAGTCACGAGACATCATTATAAACTGGCTTCAGGAACATGGGAATGCAACAGCAGCAGACATAGCGAGCGACAGTCACTGGATCAGAGTGCAGACAACGGTGAAGAAGGCAAACAGTCTACTCGATGCAGACTTTTGGATGGTTTCGAAACGTTGACAGTGGCAATGAGGTGCTACGGACGTTGAAGTATTCTTTACCATTGGAGTTGAAGAGCAAGATCTCGTTGATAACACCATCCACGAGGTTCTGTTCTCATCTGATGATGCACCAAGGACCAGCAGTCGCGGCACCTCTTGCTGACGACGCACCCAACGACGAGCTTCGGAAGGTGAAGAGGACATTGGCTGGGTTGAACCCGAAGCTTCTCTATACGGCACAGGTAGACAGGATTACTCCACCCACCTTGCAAGCACAAGTCGATCCTACGTGCAACAGGACCATCACACCCAACTGCATACGAGCTCTGTACAATGTGCCCTTCAAGATGAACGTGAGCCCGGCTCGCGGACTCGGAATCTACGCATCGCAGAATCAGGTAGCCAAATTTGACGACTTCGCCTTGTTCGCCAAAAACGTCGATCAACCGTCAACAGGCGTTAAGTTTTCTTTTCCGAGTATAAATAATGGCACGACCGACCAGGGAACAAGTTTTCAAACGCCGAGCTCAACTTCGACGTTCAGTACACTGCCTCACTTTCCAATCCGGTACCCAATATCGTCACCGCAGTTGCTGGAGACAGACCCATCAAGCTCGAATTAGGTGGTCAGCCCGGGGACACGACGGAACCCTGGCTGATCTGGCTAGACCGATGCTCAAGCTGCCCGACGACAAGCTTCCTCACACCATCACCACCAGTTTTGGCGAGAACGAACAGTCCCTCCCGGATGGCTATGTTCAGCAGATTTGCGACCAGTTCGGTGCTCTCGGAGCCAGAGGCGTTACGATGTTCGCCGCGTCGGGAGACTCTGGGCCGGGCAACACGTGTGTCACCAATGATGGTACTAATAGCACGCGGTTCAACGCCGTGTTCCCTGCATCTTGCCCTTTTGTTACAGGTGTCGGAGGGGTGAGGGGGATCGCGCGCGCCTGAGCGGGCCAGCGACTTTTCGAGTGGTGGGTTCTCGGACAAGTTTACCAGACCGGCATATCAAGAGCAAGCTGTGCCGGCGTATCTCAAGAACACTATTGAAACCCAGTTCAACGGTCTCTTCAACGCATCAGGCCGAGGCTTCCCAGACGTCAGTGCCCAGAGCTTCAACCTCACCTTCGTAACGGGTGGCCAGCTAGGCGGCTTCCAAGGTACCAGTGCCGCCGCTCCTATCTGGGCAGGCATGGTGGGAATGGTCAACGCCGCTCTCATTCAGGCGGGAAAGCCACCAATGGGGTTCATCAATCCATGGCTGTATGGCGCTGGGTTGCAAGCCATCAATGACGTCTCCGCTGGACAGTCCGTGGGCTGCACTGGCGCAACTGGGTTTGGCACGCAGAAATTCCCGCCCGAGTTCGGAGCCAAGCTCGTGCCGAACGCGAGTTGGCCCTCAATGGCTGGCTGGGACGCTGTCACTGGCTTGGGGAGCCCGGATATTGGCAAAATATTGGCGCTGAGAATGGCGATGTGATGAGTATTATGCAATTTTAGACTACAAACGGTTCGACGCACAAATTTGATCCAGTCTTAGCATACAACTTTTCCGCCTTTGCAACACAAAACGAAGCTCCGCTCACAACCTTGTGTTTTTGACCGCATTAATCGCGAACGGGTTCGCAGTAAACGTTCCGTCGGGGTCAGCCACGGCTCTGACTTTCCCAAGTCGTCTGTACTTCTCCTCGTCTTCGTAGTAGCACTTCCAGATCTTCTCGTCACCCAAGTTCCAATCACCATAGGATCCCCAAAGAAGACGTCTGTCCTTCTTGCTGAATAAGCTGTCGGGCCCGTTCATAATCTGATCGTTCTTGTCTTGCCATGATTGAGCCAACTTTCTTGACTGTTCATCGGGCTCATGGAAGCAGTCCAACGTCTGAACAACCGAAGAGTCTCTCCAGCTGTAAGACGTGCCGTTGTCTCTGTTGACGAAGAAGCGCGAGTTCTTGCCTCCGAAGCACTGGATCTGTACCGACAGCTTACATCGCATGAAACGCTCGTAATCTTTCTCGCCCTCATGCCCCCTGAGGTATTGTTCAGGGTTGTAGATGAGGTCAATACGGTCAACCACAGCATCAACCCATTTGTCTTTGGTAAGGCTGGTTGAGTTGGTAGAATAGGTCCGCTTGACGTAGGGAAGGTCAAACTCGCGTGCTCTGGGGAAGATCCACTGCCCAGTCATATCCGACATTTCCATGTCAAACTCTCCAAACTGAAGCGAGAAGTCTTCCAACAGGCTTTTGAGCTCCCGGAACTTGCCAAACCAGGCATCGACATTGGCGTCATACTTGTCGTTCTTGCTGGTCGGACACCATTGTGCGTACAGAATGATGGATGCTGGGAATTTTCCGTTGAGCAACTTCAGGAAGTCGTCTTCGAGTGCTTTCTTGATGCGGTCTTGAATGCGCTGCCAGACGTTTGCATCCTTGAGCTCCTTGAACAAAGTCGACATGGGGAAGTCTGTGCTGATAACACTGACGCAGAGGTCGAAGCCGCGGGGGAATGTAGGGTCGTCGGCCATTTCAGCAATGGCATTGAGAAGTGTGGTCAGAACTTCTTTGGAGTAGAGCCAGAGGGCCTTGATGCCGTGGGGTCCTTTGAAGCCGTTAGGTCCAGCGACAGTACCAAGGTAGCTGCTGGACTTGTACACCTCGACGATGTAGTGGGTGATGACTCCGAAGTTTCCTGGGCTGCCTCCAAGAATGGCAAAGAACATCTCCGGGTTGTTCTGTTTGGTGATGTCGCGGATGACACCGTCATGACAAACTATACGGATGGTTCTGATGTTGTCTCCAAAGAGGCCGAAACTACGGCCCAACTGTCCGTAACCGCCAGTCTGGCCGTGACCACCCACCCCGACGTAGGCACACTGGCCAGTAGGGACAAAGAGTTTGGTCTGCTTGAGGTACTTGTTAAGGTCCATCATCGTAATGCTGACACCAATGTAAACAAGTGTGCGGTCGGCTGCAATAGGTTCTTTGGGCTTCAAGATCATCAGATCCTTGTAGGTGTTGCCCAAATCGATCTGGATATTCTTGCCGCTTGTGGACGAGGCTCCGCTGTACTGGTGGCCTCCGCTCTTTACGGCGACGGCGACCTTGTTCTTCCTAGCCCAGTTGACCGCTCTAATGACATCTTGGTCATTCTGAGGTCGCACAATGAGATCGGGGTTCATGTCGTGCTCTTTCTGATATGTCGAGGTCGCATATTGCTGGTTGAAGAAAGCATATTCCTGCATCTCAGACTCGTCTCCCACCCTAGAGTATTGCATACCCTCAAAATCCTCGATGCGAACCATGGTTGGAAATTCTAGAAAGAGGAATGAATATGGATTTAAGAAGTGTCTCCCGGAAATGTAGAGTTGCAAAGTATTCAGCAGAAGGAGGGCAGCCGATGGTCAATAAATAATACTCAGATTCTATCACATGCAAGGCCCCCATCTACACAGAAGCCCCCAAAGTAAGCTGCATCGTGCTCAGCCGCAGATTTGTCTACAGCTGGGCAAATCTGTGCAACAGTTCGTTGTTGGTTGTAGGCTTTCTAGGCGAACGACAAAAGCTGATTGGTGTGATTAAAGACAAGATGGTCAGCAGTCTGACGCCGAGTTCTAGCACCAAGCCAGACAGCCTACTCAGCCAGCCTTGATAGCCTTCAACATTCCGAAGAGCAATTACTGAAACCAGGTTCGCCCTCGGAGTGGCTGACTATCACAGCGTCTGACGCTGCATACTTGCCTAGGGGCCGGGCCGCGCAGGTGCGTTTACGAGCGTGGTCGATAGAGCCGTGGCGTGGAGCTGGCATAAGACACGCTAACCTGATCCGAACATATCTGATGTTTTTGGCCGGCGGCTGAAATCTACCAGCTATGTCCACTCTCCGATGGGTTACCAGGCATCACTTCGGGTATGCCGCATTCCCGCTTACTGGCCAATGCTGTGCTTACGCTGACAAGGCGACCCAAGTAAGGCGTCTGCTGGGCTTTTTTGCGAGCTGCTGATTTCAGGGGAATCAATTGACTTGCAGAAATAGGGGTTCCAACAGGCTCTTGGCTAGAACCGACTGCGCAACTGAAAGCCTGGTTGGTTGAACGTTTCGAAATCTGTGAACATCATGTGTTTGCAACACAGTGGAGCTGTAAGGCTGTGCTGCAGATGCTGCCTGCGTCCTTTTGCCTCATGGCACGCATGGCACGCATGGCACTTCACGTGGCCGCAATATCAGTTATGCATGCTCAATGATGTCAACATGAAGCAAGCTGCAAATCTCCCTTAGTACTTGGCTAAGAAAACCATACATTCCTCGTGTGTTTCCTGACACCCTGATTGTAGGAACTATCTCCTGGTTACCGTAAAGTACTTGTCCCATCAACTGCTAGATGGCGTTACTATTTCCGTCTTCAGTCTTTCTCTAACTTTGCTCTTTTCGAGACTGCAGTATTTATAGACGGATATAAGGGAAGTAGAGTCGGATTGGATTATTCATTATCGCCCCTACAAAGAACGTACGGATGTACCGTCACCATTTAGCAGTTAATGGGGGATATACCCGGAAATTAAGATTCAATAGCCTGGTCCTTGTTGCTACTTAGTACTTTCAATTTCCTACATAGTGACCCGAGTTCCGACTGCAGTCTCCAGCTCTTACTTACCACCACTAGAGATCATCTTCTGAAACTTGAGGAATTCTTGGTACTGTTTCATATCGACAGCTGCTCCAGCAGCAGGAAGAGATTGACTTCCTACGTTGATGGAGGTTGCTTTCTTCCCCGATACTCTTCCATCCTTAGCTTCGTTCTCAGACTCCGCGTCACTTTCCTTCTCGGAGTTGTCTTCAGGCTCGAGGCTTCGCTCAGGGTGTTTCAAGCTCTGCTGAGTGCGACTAGCCTTAGTTGATCTGTATGGCGTGGGCGAGGAAGCGGTCTTTCGAAGATCGTGACGCCGACCATCGCGTCTGGCCTCGTCTGGCCTCGTCTGCCTCCATCGCTCCGTTTATATTGATGAGATAGCTGTTGAACTCTTTGAAGCCCTTCACAACTTTTTCGAATTGCTTCTTACCAAACCTGGATTTGGGATCGTCTGCCTCTTTCGATACGTATCGATACTCAACCAGAGCGATGGCTGTTCGGAACGCGTTGCGGATTTGTCTATATCGCATGCTTAGTAAACGTATCGAATTGAGATATCGGAAGATACCAGCGGAAATCTGGCCGAAGTGGGACACAAATACCTTCCAGCCATTCCACTTATGTCGATTCTCAAGCCCGAGTCGATTGTAGTGCTTTTCGGCAAAGTTCAGTTTCTGCTTCTCTTTGATCTTGAAGTTTTGGGTGCCTGTATCCTTTCGTTCTTCCTTAGCTCTTTTGATGAACGTTTGGTGAATCCTGAATGTCACTAGAAGATCCAGATCGTTGTACCTATGAGAGAGACATCTGGAATTCTGAATCCTTGGCTTGAAAGCTGGGTCAATTACCCCAACACGATTCGAGGTCAGGAACAAAATCCTTACATGATACTCAAGTGTACGGAGGAACACACTCGTCACAACATTGTGGCGGATGTTGCCTCGAACTCTCTTTGCAAGAAAGATGCCGGCCTCGTCCGTAATCCTGCTGAAAATGGTGATCATGACAATTTCCCTTTGAAAATGATGCTAATGCACGCCGAGTTCCATGAATGTCAGGATTCCGTCATCAATGCCACGGGCCACTCGTGATGACATATGGTAGGTCCGTCTGATACATGAATAGGGGAGAGATTCCGTTGGGTAATTGAACCACAAGATGCCCACAGTCTTGACATCCTCTTTGTGAGACTTGTTCACGAAGTCTGATGAGTTGACACTGTGGACCCATCTTTTGACGCGTATCCAAACATTCGATGATGCCCTAGGAGCTCTGTGATTCCTTGCGATGGGATTGAACATACATGCCTCTATCAAGTCATTTCCTTTATTATCCGGGTGATTTGTTCTTCTCTGCTTCACCTCCCTCTACTCATTTTTCTCTGCCTTCCTCTACCACATTATCTCATTTTACCTACCTTATCTGCATGCATTCACCCACTTTCTCTTGCCATTCTCCATTCATCATTAAGGTTCTCCACACCCCCCTCACAATGTGATCTTCTCTGTTCGCATAATTTCTTCTTGACTCTACTTGGTCTAGATCCGAGGAAGATTCGGACTTTTGGCACACATAAATATACACCTTTTCCTCGCACTCTAGAGTCCTAGACAACCTCAAACACACTCAATACCGCAGCCAAAACCGATATCGTTGACAACACAAGATCGCTTCTCATAAATCATATCACCTATTCCAGCTTCCGCCATAGCAAACGCAGTCAACACACAGACCCACATGACCAAAGGGGACATGGACCAACTTGAAAAGTCTCGAAACGAAATGGAAAGAATTCACCAAATCCTCAACGATGACCTCTCGTCATGGAATCAGAAAGCCTTCGATAGCGACCTCTGGCAAGGAATCAGTGAAGAAGAACAAAAGCAAAAAGCATTGATCTTAAAGCAAGAAGTACTTGGTAAACCTCTCTTCAAGAAAAAAACAAGGGGCGGCTTGGTTCTCGTCAACTTTGGAGAAGACCCCAAAAGCAATCCCGAATACTTCGAAATATAAACGGCCAAACTCAGGACGGGAAAAAGCTCGCCAATGTCCCACCTGGTTGCGGACTGGGAGAACACGGACATTGATGCGCACAAGCACAACGTCAACACTATCAAATGGTTCTGCTCTGTCCCTTTTCCAAACCCAGAGAATGAGGAGGAAAGAAAGATTCAGGAATCTCCCAGAGGAGTGATGTGTAGCCTTGTCAATCAGCTTCTGCGGGTCATTTCTGATAAGTTTCCCGGATTCATCCTATCAAGTTCATTCTTGGACCACAAAGACTTTGCTGATCGTCCCAAAAATCGAGAAATCGAAGCTTTATGGGAGGTTTTCGGTTGCCTGGTGGTCGAGCTCCCCTGGGGGGCTGATGTGATGTGTGTGATCGACGAGATCACCACTTACGAGACCAGTGATCTTAAAGAAGATCTGGATTTCATTATCGGTCAACTGGTGAAAATGGCAATAAGACAGTCGGGGGAGCCAATCGCATTGAAGTTCATTGTAAAGTGCCAGACAACTGCTAAGGGGGTTCGTGAGCACTTCGAGGATAGCAAGTACTCCAAGGACAACATCATTGATGGGTAGATTGCCAATGCAGGCGGTCGGGCGCGATTGGCGGCTTGGTACTACATACTGTAGTACCTTGAAAGTGTGTCTTATATCCATACTGGTAGTATCTACTTTCTAGTTAGCAAGGGTGGAAAATAAATTCTTCGTATATCTTTACTCGTGGCAACTTAGCATCAGGTAGTGATCTAAAAAGTGAACAGAGTGTATTTAAAAGCTTTGTAGATACTGAACCATCCTCCTTTTACTATAATTCTGCTGCCTATGTCAGTTTGATGACTTTGGTCAGCCTCTTCCTCTTCTTCTTTCACAGACTGAAGCCACCGAACATGGTTCCTCTTCCCAGTAGCAAGATTTACAAATTACGATAGAAGTACTTGGATCTTGCGATAACAAACACCTATCTTTAAACAAGATAGTCCTGTACATGTAAGCTTGCATCACATCGGGATTACCTCGAGCTCAAATTGGACAGCACAAAGTAGGTATAGTCACGAGGTGATTCAAAATCTTTCGTAATTGGCCTTTTAATGTGGGTAACAAAGTAATCCATCGCTTAGTCCTTCATCGCTCCTATTGTAATCACTACAAATGGCGCTATTGCATCGTTTCCTTTTTACGCAAGGCAATCTATTACTCGTTCATTACTTGTCAAACGCGGCTCGGAAGACATTGAACAGGACATATATGATAGTAGTAGAATACTGGGGGCTGTACTGACGGGCCCGAAAGGGATGTCCATTGATTGATTGGCATCATATCCTATCCACTGGACCTGCCCCTCAACGTCACCGATGAATCTGGATTTTGGCAGCGGATGCGGATCTATCAACCAAAGCTCACATGATCAGCCGAGAATCAAGTCTATCATTACCCATGGTTGGCTGCGGTTACAAGGAGGCGTGATTGATAGCCACGTCACCCAACATCACTGTGAGATACCAGGCAATGCGATAACCCGGTGTGAAGTCTTTCATATTCTGTTTCAGCTGGTACTTAGGTCTTTGACTTTCGGAAAGAAATCCATTGAACATGAACTTCCAGGTCTTGTGACTGATCTTCGTTTCCGAAGTCGCGCTTGGCAAACTTGGTAGATGATCCTTTGTCCAGTCTTCAGAATTTAGAGGCGAGGGCCGGGCGAGGTCAGGTAAGAACCCTTGCAATCCTATGATCCCCTTTGCATGAGATTGAACACGTTTCTTTGAGGTAGGTACTTGGTTTGTCGACGTTCTCTGTTTGGCCCTGACATGATGCCACTCTGTTCAGGGCTCTTTGTTCATGCCACTCTCTTCACTCATTTCTGAGACTCTGTTCAGCCTCCTTTATTTGATGGTCTTGGCGTTATCTACTAGTACACTGTGCTGCAACTCTTCCATAAATAAGCAGAGGATAGTAATCCTGGGAGACTGACATGGTGACCTGCCCACCTCTCACATCCCATTTCCTCTCGCTTTCTGAGAAGTACAGACCACGACCAGCGCAAAACCTCGTACATCTTGACCTATGACTTGAGCTTTCTCGGCCTTATGGATGAGCTTACAACATGGAAGACAAAGCTAAAGGGTACGATAAGTACCAGTCAATGCTCGACCAAGCACAGTTTTACCAGAACGATCGTTCCCATGAACAGGATCCCCATGGCGTGGCACCCGAAACCTTCTCAGAGTTCTCTGCACCGTCGCTAGTTTCATCTTTCGATATGGAAGACATGAATGACGCCTTGCCTCGGGACCTAGAAGATTCAGAAATGACAGACTCTGGAACAGAAGCAATATCCCGGATGATACAATTGAAAAATGCATCGTTGGCGGAAGAAATGCTCGGGCATCTTGCATACAAAAGCGACGCTGTCCAGAAAGTGGCTGATGAGCTATTTCAACTGCATACAAATTTGAGTAAAAACCAAAAAGAAACCCTTCATATGATCAAAGGCACCGATAAGTATACGTCATTCACCGACATAAAACTCAAGGCAACCTGTCGTCTTCTCATCAACGCTAGAGAAGGCCAGAACAATAGTGTCGCAACGACCAGCTATTTGGCTGCTACAATAATGAATAAGCAAGCATACAAAGAGGATACCTCAACTTTCATCATTGGCTGGTTCTGCGCTCATAATGCCGGATTACGTATTCAAAGGGACGGCTCTGATCCGGTCGAATGCCTTTCCAGAGGAATGATGGCCAGCCTTTTGTGTCAGCTTGTACACTGGATGGTGTACAGGGAGATTGACTGCGATCTGTCGTTCATTAGCGGTCCCGATTGGGACGACATTAAACAATTCGAACTGGTGGTTCTGAGCAAAGCATTTACCAGACTGGTTGCACAGTTGCCTGAAGGAAGTCAGATAATTTGCTTCATCGACGAAATCCGTCATTACGAGAAGAAGGATACAGATGATGCGTACAGGGCAATCAAAGAACTGGTGGCACTTACCAATCGTGTCGGACCATTGAAGGGACCTCGATATTTCAAACTCCTTCTGACTTGTAATGACAAGGCTCTCGGGATAAAGAACATTTTTGAAGGCAAAAGCCAAAGTATGGAGTTTCCACAGGAAGCATAACATTTTACACCACTCTGTCTGGACTATCTTGGTTTATCTGGCGCAAAAGGGGCCGGTGGCAATTTATAGCCCTGTAAATGTTGACATATCAGGGACACAAGTCACATTATTAAACTGATCAAATGGAAATGTTGATCACGAGAACATTACGAGACACATGCATAGTGAAGAATGAAAGCTTTATGTGTCGCCCGAATACGTTTCTAAGTAGCCGTAGTGACTCCTCTTCCCTAAACCTTCCTATGATTGGTTCCAAAACGCGCTGAGAAGTGACCACACTGATGTGATGCATGGTTATACCCTTGGGTCGCGAACCTTGAACTCCCGTATATCTCTTAAGCTGAGAAGTAAGTGACCCGACCATTCAGATCACTTAGCAACGGTCCCAGCGACCGACGACGGTCCAGTTGTCCTTGTGGAAGGCACGACCGCTGACAAGAATGCCAACACCGCGGTAGCACCTGTTGATGACATGGTAGGCGCCATCGGAGATCTCCTTGAAGGAGTTGATGGTCTTGGCCTTGCTATCCTGTGTTGTTCCCATACCGTCAGTCTTGTTCTTCATATCACAAAGTACTGGAGGGAAGCATCTACTTACCATGTTGCACCAGTAGATGGCTGCGTTCCAGCTGCAGCTGACACGGCCGCAGCTGCCGGGGCCAGGGCCACGGGTGGGCTTGCCCTGAACGTCGAGGAGGTAGCGAGCACCCTGGGCGAGGCGCTTGCGGTCGGCATCGTCGTAGCCGGCGCAGTTGACGGGAGCGTCCTTGAAGACGTCGTCGGCCTGAGTGACAGCGGACTCAATGGCAGTGTCGATGGCCTCGGTGGAGGAGAGGGTAGTGATGCCGAAGTCCTGGTCGTAGTTGGGGTTGATGGTGCGGAGCTCCTTGAGGACCTCCTCGACGGTGCCGGTGAGGGTGAGGTTCTCACCACCGGGGTGGGCCTGGACCTCCCACTCGACGGTCATGAGGTCGAAGCCCTCGACACCCATGGGGCCGTTGGCGTCCTTGTCAACAGCGACGCCCTGCAATTTTGAGCGTCAGTTGGTATTCACATATTTTCACAATAGGAAAGCGTTGCAAATATTTACCTTGACAGCCATGGCGGCAAGAGACAGGAGGGAGATGTTCTTGATCTGCATGGTGACGGTTGGAGTGTGAGGGATTGTGTGTGGGGTGGTAGTGATGTCTGTTGTGGTGAAGTTGAAGTGTTTGTAGTGGTGAAGTTGGAGGTGGACGGAAAGGGAAGAAGATTCTATTGTGCAGGACAAAGTTTGGTATTTTATACTGATCTGATGAGTATTCCAGCAACTGCCTCAGTATTCACAGAACAACCTCATGATACCCTCCATTTTTCCGCCTTAGGCCCTCAGTAGTCCCATTCACCTATCGCAGCAAAGCAATCACGTGAAGCTCAGTCCCATGTCCAGCTTTTCGTCGCCAACAAAGGAAGGAGGTGCCTGTAAGGGTCGATCGCGGCTTCCCATTGAGAATTTTCGAACAATGGCCAAGGAAGTAACTCGGTGAACACAGCATCGTGCTAAAGGTGAGGTATTCCACATCACGGCAGGAAGGCAAGTGCTCTCACATCCAGCATCCAAGACTTGCTGCCGTTTGAAGATGGGACACGAACTCACAAACGTCTTTGACTGATGCCTTTATCAAACTAGCCAAGTCCTCCCAGGTGGTCTAGAACACCTTGGCCACGTAATACTTTTCCGAGAGCGCTGGTGGTGATACCACACTTCCTTATATCTACGAGCCATGTACCCTCATTTCCACGCGCGTGATATCTTGTAAAGTGGAAGGTGTATCGATTCCAATCTGATCAGGGGGTCACTCTACCCGATTTTTCCAAATGTTTGCCTTTAGACATATTGCAATGAATGTAAGGTCTGAACTAGTGTGACACATGGTCGACACGAGTAGGCTAGGAGGATCTTGGAAATTACTGTTTCATTCTTCGGCCAAATCAGACCTAACAGATAAGAAACAGAGACCTGTTAACGAGGAGAGAAATCAAAGAAACACGGTGGGTTCAATAATGATCTAAGGTGGCAGTCAGGACTCCTTAGCCCACTGCTTCCCACTCCAGAGATTCCCCGTTGTCCACAACCAATAATCACGGCCCTTGATCATCCACACCATGAAGCTGGGCAGTTGATATCCCATAGCAGCACCGACCCCTTTGCTCTTTCCTACGGTAACCAATTGAGTCTCGCGGACGTCTTCCTCGAACAACCTGTCCTTGTCAGTAGCACTCTCCGGCTTTTCAGAAGCTAAGAGGAGGTCCCGCTTGATGTTGGCGCACATGACCAGGACGGCACTCAGGATGTTATGGATTGCTGGCCTGGCGAAGGAAGATGCGTCTCCGACGGCATAGACGCGTGGTCCAGCTGTATCGACGCGAAGGGTGAGCGGGTTGGTGTTTACTCTGCCATCGGGGAGCAAAAGAGTGTCGCTGATGAAGCTTGTGTTTGGTCTTGTACCAGTTGCGGGGATGTAGAGATCGGCCTCAATCGTCTTTCCACTATCCAGAGTGACCCTCGCACTTGCCGCGACTCCTGTGATACCAGCTGAAGCTGGTACTATATCACTGACCCGAACGCCTTTGAGAATCGTGACACCAACTTGAGCAAGATAGCCCTCTGCCTTGCGGGCAATAGCAGGACGGAGTGCTGGAAGGATTTCAGGTGCAGATGAGACCAAGGTGATGAAAACTTTGGGGCTGTGTGGTTTCCGGCCGTTCAGGTATTCGCCCAGCTCGCCGGCGGTCTCGACACCTGCTGGCCCTCCGCCTACAACGACGACATTCTTGGCCTGCGGCAAGGCTTTGCGAAATTCAGCCCAGCTCTGTCTCAGGCTTTCAGAGTCGCTGTTGAGGCCGAGGAGAGGTGAAAGTGAAGATGCACCTGTCGCAATCACTAGGGCGTGGTAGGAAAGAACGACCGGGGTGCCGTTGCCTTTCGGGGTGATGGAGACCGTTCGCTCAACATGATTGAGACTCATCGCGGTTCCCTGAACAAAATCGAAATTTTCGTTGTCGTACTGCTTGAAGATGCTTGGTATATCGACAAAGAGCTTGTCTTGGAGAAACATGTCGTCGGATATGAGTGCTCGGGGGCATGCAGGTCGGCACATGACTTGGGCTGAGGAACTGACGAGGACGACCTTGTACCCCACGGTATCTGTCAGGACTGGTATGGCATGCTTGAGAAGGTAATGAGCTGTAGATACACCTCCATAAGAGCCACCAAGGATGACAATGGGTTTCTTTGATGGTACGGTGGTTGGGAGTTCCATCATGAGTTAGAGAACCAAGGATTGCGGTTGATTGTACACATGCTGTGTGGATGCATGGTGATATTATATACTCTGGTCAAATGGCACTCACTCTTAAGTAGACCGGCCTTTTTGACTTACACGAGCTCAATACAGTCTGTCGCGGACCATCGCGGCCGGATGAACACTGCTTAGTACGCTTAGGTAATGTTGGTTTGTGGCGGTGGCTTGTTGGGAAGGATTTCGTAGCTTGTTCTTCGGCCGAATTGCGGACGAGTACACTCACCTCGTACCTTATGCTGGGTTTCCTTTCCATCTATACAATTCGAAAAAGGTTCAAATGCCATTGACATTCGCGCATGCTTACGATGATGCCTCGATGCTAACAGTGTTCACGGTTGTGTGGAGTCGAGATAGACGCAAGTGGGGTGAGTGGACGCCAAGCCTCGCGGATGAGAGCTCATCTGGATGGCATTTCGGCCGAGTTGCGACCCGGCCGAGACGCAGAAACAGTTAGACATCCTCTGATGAGTGTATAAGTGTGCGGCGGCCATTTCCCAAAATTCAGCTGCGCTTATGCACTCTCTCGAGTCAGATACTTCTTCAGCTTGCTGCCAAAGCCCACGTGTCTCGGATGAAGCAAAAGGACTCGGGGAACGCCGAGTGACGGGGATTCAAAGTCGGCTCGGGATGACATAATGACAACTGGAAATGGCCCGACCTGCAGCGTCTGAAAATTTCTAGAATGACACCAAAAGAAAAAAGCAGAAACTTCATCGGCCGGGCGTTTTTAGCTGCCTTACGTAAGGAGAAGAGACAAGTGTGCCTTTGTGTGTAGGTACCGCGTGGGGCTCTTTACCGCCGTTCGCCGCAAAGCCGCTGCAAAGCCCGGACCCTGAAGTGTCTTGGGTGTGTTGCTGTGTCGCATTGTCGCGGGGCTCTTAGGTCACTTTTGAGTGCTGCTGCGGTGCTGAACAGCGTGTTGGGTACCCGTGTGGCCAAGTACCTTGGGAAAGTGACCATTTTTGGTAGGTGGGCGGATATCTTCGGCGTTGGCGGGGTCATTTTTCACTCCCGCTTTCTGTCTCTCTCCCTCGCTCCGTCTCAATTCTCGCACCATCCCACCACGACGATTGCGTTTCTCTTTTCCTACCACTTGCATATCTATAGTCTGTGGACTGACTTTCATTCTTACGCTTTCTCCTTTCCTTCTCTCTTCCTCCCCTTTTACGCCTCTCTACCACACCTCCCTCCCCAACTTCGACCCACGATAACACCCACCACAATCGCAATCATGGGAGACGCCAGTGCCATCAACGCCACTCGCGTGGCCGTCACCGCACAGTCGGCTACCGAGCTCATCGGCAACACGCCCCTCGTCCGCCTCAACAAGATCCCCCAGAGCCTGGGCATCGAGTGCGAGGTCTACGCAAAGGTCGAGCTCTTCAACGCCGGTGGTAGTGTCAAGGACAGAATCGCACTGCGCATGATTGAGGAGGCCGAGCGAACCGGCCGCATCAAGCCTGGTGACACCCTCATCGAGCCCACCAGTGGTAACACGTACGTTTACCCGCCACGACGACAACCTCAGAAGCAATTTCATATTGACATTTGATAGTGGTATCGGTCTGGCTCTCGTCGGCGCCATCAAGGGCTACAAGACAATCATCACCCTCCCCGAAAAGATGTCCGCCGAGAAGGTCTCCGTCCTCCGCGCCCTCGGCGCCACCATCATCCGCACCCCGACCCAAGCCGCCTGGGACAGCCCCGAGTCGCACATTGGCGTCGCCCGCCGTCTCGAAAAGGAGATCCCCAACGCCCACATTCTCGACCAGTACGGCAACCTCGACAACCCGCTCGCCCACGAGTTCGGCACCGCCGAAGAGATCTGGGCCCAGACGGGCGGCAAGATTGACGCCCTCGTCGCCGGCGCCGGTACGGGAGGTACCATTTCTGGTATCGCTCGCGGCCTGAAGAAGCACAACAAGGACGTCAAGATTATCGCTGCCGATCCCCACGGCAGTATCCTCGCCCTGCCCGAGTCCCTGAACAAGGAGCACGAGAACGAGGGCTACAAGGTCGAGGGTATCGGCTACGACTTCATCCCTGACGTCCTCTCCCGCGACCTCGTCGACAAGTGGTACAAGACTGAGGACCGCGAGTCCTTCCAGCTCGCAAGACGCCTCATCGCTGAGGAGGGTCTCCTCGTCGGCGGCAGCTCCGGCTCCGCCATGGCCGCCATGGTCCGCGCCGTCAAGGACCTCGGTCTCGGAAAGGGACAGACCGTTGTCGTTGTTCTCCCCGATAGCATCCGTTCTTACCTCTCAAAGTTCGCCGACGACGACTGGCTCGCAGCAAACGACCTCCTCCCCGAGGTCAACGGCCTCGAGACCCAGGCCACCGCCAACGGCGCCACCACCAGTGTAAAGGGCGGTGTCGACCCCTACGAGGGCGCCACCGTCAGCGCTCTCCGCCTCAAGCCCGTCATGTCCGTCCCCGCGACGAGCCCCTGCTCCGAGGCGTCCGAGATCATGCGCGACAAGGGCTTCGACCAGCTCCCCGTCCTGTCCGCGAGCGGCAACAAGCTTGTCGGTCTGGTGACCCTCGGTAACCTGCTCAGCTACATCTCTTCGGGCCGCGCCACGGGCTCCAGCCCTGTCAGCGACGTCATGTTTGACTTTGGCCGCTTCGATGAGGTCGTCACGGATCCCAGACAGGCTGGCGAGACTGGCGAGGCGAGCAAGAAGAAGCGCAACTTTGTCGAGATTACCCTTGACACCCCTCTCTCGACCCTGAGCAAGTTCCTTGAGTGGAACAGCGCTGCTGTCGTCACTGAGAAGGCCGATGGCACCAAGAACCTTTCTAAGCCCGTGGCTGTCGTCACAAAGGTCGATCTGCTCACCTGGGTTGTCAACAAGAAGGCTTAAGCGCTTCCCTCCTTTTCTTCACCGTTCACGAAATAATTAAAACTCACGACTTGGCTGATATATAGAGTATCAAGACTAGGCAAGAGGATGCGGATGATGTTGCTTTTTTTCCTCGTTATCGGCGTTTTGAAAGCGGGCATAGCAAAGGTGGCAGGGGCAAATCTTGGGTCGCATCAACTGACCCCGGTTGGCAGCATTTGCTTGAAAATCTTGGGATGGGAGTAGACTCAACATCTACATAGAGAACAGGGCAGCCAGTCTGATCCTATAAGGATAGAATCACGACCAAACAATTTTTGCGCATCACATCAACATCCAAGCACATCATCATCATCGAAACATTAAGTGCTTTTATTATTAAGTGCCCCCCTCCCCCTGCTGCGATGGTCACTACCTTATATCCGCTGGGCGATCCAAGACCACCACTTATCGGGGCCCGTCGCGCTTCCCGTAACATTGCCCGCGATGACGTCCACATCCACATCAAACTCGCGCAGCTGATCAAAGGTGAACTTCTCCGTACCATACGCGCCCAACCAATCGTCATTCTCCTCTGAACCAACATCATCAATGCCGACACCGGAATCCAACAGGCCCTTGCTGCGCGACGACCGTATCCGCGTAATCTCAGCCTCGAGGTTCGACTTGACCAGTGCGCCAGGCAGCGCCGTGAACAGATCCGTCTTGTTGGCGGCGACGAGGACGGGGATAGGCGGGGGCGGCTTAGACGACTTGCTTGACGCCGCGCGCTTCTGCAGGCCGAGGAGGACTTCGTAGAGATAGCTCGCCGTAGGCGCGAGGGCCTCGTTCTCGCCAATGGCGGCGGCGTCGACCATAAAGACGATGGCCTTGATCTTGGAGTTCTTGCTGCCGCTACCGCCTCCAGCACCGCTGGCGAGCTTGCCGAGAGCGTAGTTGCGAAGCTTTCCGTGGCCGGGTGTATCGACGAGGAGGAACTTGGTGTGTGTGCCGCTCGTGTCTTCGTGGTTGCGGAAGCTCTGGGCTGTCTTGCTGTCGCGCGAGGCCGTGAGCTCGACGGTCTGGGGCCGCTGGCTCGTGTGGGTTGTCGCGGGGGCGTCGCCTCGTTCGAAGAGGGTGAGGAGGGCGGTCTTGCCTGCGCCGGCGGGGCCGAGGAGGAGGACGGAGGGGAGAGTTGTGTAGGGTGTTGATTTGATGAGGATGTAGTGGAGGAGGATGGGGAAGAGGAGGACGATGGCGGCGCCGATGAGGATTACGGGCGTCGAGGGGGTCATGATGAATTCGAGGAACTTTGTGAAGGAGCCCATCTTGTCGGCCATGATTGCTGTCGCTGTTGCTGCCACTATCGCTGTTTCTGGCGATAGCAAAGCAAAGGAATGAGGAAAGTGTCGGGTTGCTGAGAGTCTGTCCCCTGGTGGTGGGATACCCTGCGCGAAACGGCCGACTAGGGGTGGAACGCTTGGATAGTGTGAGTCGTGTCAAGTGGTCGTTGACAGATTTCCAGAAGAAATCGCCAAATACCGTCAGTGGAGCTCTTCCTTCCCAAACGAAGCGCAAAGATGGCACGATGGCAAGAGTGGCAGGTGGTACGTGCACCTCGGAGATTCAGCCACAACTGACCCACATCTTAGGACGAGGCTGAGGAGGCCGAGGAATCCGCCCTAAGGTGAGGCTAAGCATGGGTGTCACTGGGTGTCACTGGCAGTTAATGCCAAGCTTTGGGGCGCTGAGTCTCTCCCAGCCAATCACGGCTATCACGGCAGACGACTGCAGCACTGTTCGACCCGCCTTTGTCAGCTCAGCCTCGCTAGTCCGATTTAGGGGGGGAGGGTCTCCCGGCGATCCCCTTCCACTCACTGCACTCGGTGCTCACCTCGAATTCCCCAGTCTTCAACGCTGAGTGCCAACGCTGCCGAGCTCTGTCAAAGGACCCAAAGCTGACGACACGCAATCTCGTCACTCTTGGCTTCCGGCGTCTTTTCCGTCCTCCTTCTAACTGTGGCACCTTTTTTCTCTTTTTGTTTCCACTCTGGTGTTTATCATCAATCTCTCGTTTGTTGGTCACATCCCTGTCCACCGTTGCGCGCGTGCGAGCCCCCCGTCTCAATTCTTTCGCCTGGACCGCATCCATCCCCTTACCTCAAGCAATGCGACGCTAGGTTCGAGCCGAAGTTTAAACTCCCCGAGCAAAATAATACTCTACCCTTTCCCACTCGTCACAGCTCTTCCCAATCGATAGACGACCGTCCTCCTCCTCAATCCGAGACATCAAAAGAAAGGTTTGGCCCGCGACCGCCGACCCGCCGACTTCGATGGACAAACCAACCACGCCGGCCGCTGCCGCTGCCGCCGCGTCCGTGGCCCCGAATCAACCTGCGAACAAGACGAGCGCCGCGGCGCCCACACTGAATAATGAGCTGGAGATGGGAAGCATGGGCGGCGATGCGCCAAGCGCAGAGAACGACATCATGCAGATCGCGCGAGTAGGAGACGTTCCGGCCATGGAGAAGCTCTTCGAATCGGGCGAGTACGATGCGACCTTCACTGACGATGAAGGCATCACACCCTTGCATGTACGTTGCATTCTACCTCTTTCAAGTCCTTCCGAGCTTTGTCACAGCTGTGTCCGATCTCATTGTGCTAATATATCCCAGTGGGCAGCTATAAACAACCAGTATGCCATGTGCAAGTTCCTCATCGACAATGGCGCAGAGATCAACAAGAAGGGAGGCGAGTCCATCGCGACACCTCTCCAATGGGCCGCTCAGAGATGTCACTACTACACCGTCAACTTCCTCCTCCAACACGGAGCCGACCCCCTCATCACCGACGCTCAGGGCTACAATACCCTCCACATCTCGACCTTCAACGGCAACACCCTGCTCCTCGTCCTGCTGCTCCACCAAGGCATTCCCGTAGACGTGCTCGATAGTTACGGTCACACGGCGCTCATGTGGTCCGCCTACAAGGGCTTCCCTCAATGCGTGGACCTCTTCCTCCGCTGGGGCGCTAGCATCCATACCACGGACGAGCAGGGTTTCACCGCCCTGCACTGGGCGTTAGTCAAGGGCTCCCCCGCCTGTATACAGAGGCTTCTCGAGTATGGAGCGGACCGATTCGCAAAGACGCAGACTGGCAAGACGCCCGCTGTTACGGCTAAGGAACTTAACACGACCGGCGCATGGCATCGTGCTCTTAAGGAGTGTGGTTATGACGAAGACGGACAGCCGATCGAGCCCAGCTTCCCGGGTTCGCGCTTCCTCCGCCAGGATAAGAGGGGGTTCGTGACCAAATTCCTGTTCTTGTGGCCCTTCCTTTTGGTTTGGTCTATGATTACGATACTGGGAAGCATGAACGTGTTTGCGGGTGTCTTCTTCTCTCTAGTCGTTGGTTATGCGCTTCAATGGTGCGCTCAACAGGTCATCGAGTTTGCGCCCCCCGACATGAGACACTTCCACAAGACTGTAAGTTCCTCAAAATGGGTTTGAGATGATCTGGACTGACAACAGTAGCCCTGGCTGGCTGGTATCTTCTCCGCATCCCTGTTCTTGGTCGGCCTCAGGTGGTTGACTACCATTCTCCCCGCGACCACCGGTTCAGCTGGTAAGCTTCATCACATCTACGACGCTAGATATGCTGCTGATATGACATAGATGGCACTCACTCTCATTGGTGGCTTAACCTGATCTTTGGCGTATTCCTCGGTCTATGTGCCTACTTCTACAGCGCCGCGATGCGATACGACCCCGGATTCGTGCCCAAGATGAACGGCATCGCCGAGCAAAAGGCTGTCATTGATGAGCTGCTCAAAGAGTGGAAGTTTGATGAGACAAACTTTTGTGTTACGTGCATGATCCGGACTCCTCTTCGCAGTAAGCACTGCAAGCGGTGCCAGAAGTGCGTCGCAAAACACGACCAGTGAGTAGACCTTTGATCTCTTGTATATAACCTCGCTAATCCGATTAGTCACTGCCCTTGGGTTTACAACTGCGTTGGTATCAACAACCACCGCCACTTCTTCATGTACCTGATCAACTTGACGTTGGGCATCATTTCCTATGACTTCCTCGTCTACTACTGTAAGTATCCGTTGTTCGAGCTCTGCTTCCGCGCTAACACCAATGCCGCAGACTTCACAGATGTCTCCGACAAGGTCTCAGAAACCTGCAACTTCCTTAGCCCCAGCCTATGCAAGGTTGTCAACGCCGATGGCTACACGGCAATCCTCACCGTGTGGACAACTTTGCAGCTCACCTGGGTTGGTATGTTGCTGTTCGTGCAATTTGTCCAAGTCTCTCGCGCAATGACCACCTACGAAAACATGTTCGGCATCCAAGACGGCTCCCTCACCACTGCCTTCACCTCAACGGGCACCCCTCTCGACCCGAACCACCCGTCGTTGATTCTTCCGGAAACCACTGGCGCGCACGCCCACGGTCACAAGCACAAGGGCGGCCGTCTTCAACAATGGTCTCGTCTCCTCGGCGTGGACCCCTTCATCGAGACCATTCGCGGCCGCGGCGCCGCGACCCAGAACAAGCGCAGGAAGAAGAACCCCTACTCCAACGGCTGCATGGCCAACTGCCGCGACTTCTGGTGTGATCCCGCGCCCACATTTGGCCAGCGCGAGAACGGCTCCGCCATGCTGGGTGGCGAGCCCGTCAACTACACCGCCATGTACGAGAGCCCGACCCTGATGAACATGAGCAGAGGCCGGAGGAGAGCAGGCGGCTACGAGTCCGTTGCTGCAGAGGAGGTATAATAGACTTGTTTTTGTCATGATTGGAGGGAGGGGTGCCGGATCAGTTTCACGACTGGTATGGGAGGAAGCTGGAAAGCTGTCACTCCCCACCCCTCCTTTTGCGCGCTTTGCTTTTTCCAAGCGACGACTTCTATGGAAGAAAGATTACGACGAGGCTTAAGATGATGTTTTTTCTATCCCCACAACGAAAGAAAGACGAGGCGTCAACGGGCGGCTGCTGCACTGCATGGCTCGGGATGTATTAATTGTTGGTATATGTAGAAGTATGACTTTGGTGTTGAGGAATGGGAGTCTTTTCTCCGTGTGTGAGCTTGATTCATCTTGAAGATGCTCATGCTGTTATGTGTTTCGATGCTGTCAATCTATTTCCCTTGATGTTGCTCTCATTCGATTTGTTGGAGACTCCCTTTGTGTACCGTAACCCCGCCACCACTCACTTGACCCTGCGCCAATAGAACCAGAGACGTGTTAGGCGCAAGGCATATTTTGTTAGGAACACAAGTCAGCCTCCACCAATCAGATTGCAGTCAGAACAGTTGCGCAGCTTGTCAGTTGGAGAGGGTGGTCAAAGGCATCTGCAGCCTATCGAATCTACTCCTTGCTCGGGCTAATGTCTTACCGTAAGCACTGCACCCAGAATTGTTTATCTAGAGGGGGTACGGATCAGGCAGCACCGCTTCTACTACTGCTTCTTCTACTACTTTCACTAGTATCCCTATTCCTTACCTATCTTTATTCCTATTACTATTACCATCTTCATCGCTTTTGGGACCAGCCTAGACAGTGCCCCTGGTTTAGTCTTTTCTCGGCGTGTATTGACCTGGGAGTATGTGATGAGCTTCATGCAAGAACCGTCACAGCAGCGGGGCCTGGAGGTGGTACTTCGGACCTCTGACGCCACCATATCCTCAAGCCTAGCACCCTATGGGAACTTGAACAGTTTAGCAGTCTCTCAGCTTCCCGGTGTGGTTGCCGATAGTAACGAAGGGAGTTTGATCTCTCAATGGTACATCAGCAACCCTCATCAAAGGTCTTATCCTCTTCTACGGATAGTAGACAGTTTATGGATCTTGCGGCTGACCGTGAAACTACCAGATGGTCCGATCCGGCGAAGAATGCATACGATAACGCCATCGCAATCCTAAGAAAAGAGCCTACAGATGAGTAGTACCAACAGTTGCGCCTTCAAATCCAGCACTCAATGAATGATGTGCAGTCTGCGGTCGAATCAGCCCGACAGGGGTACCAGACAAAGTCAAAAGGATCCAAGGTTCAGTCTGCTTTAACAACCTGCTCATCCAGGATAATGTTCTACGGAGGTGATTCAATGGGACGTCACTTGAAGAATGTAGGTACATACACTAACAATATGTGTTCTATTTCAGCAATATTTGATACTTTCTCTCAACATCATCCCGAATATGTATCTTTAGGCTGGGGCGCCGTGAAGTTCCTCTTCGTTGTGAATATTGGGACATGCTTTGCATCCTCTCAACCTCATCTTAGCCAACTCACATAGTCTGTTCTCAATCATGAAGAGTTACTTGTTGAAATATCGAAAGCAGTGTCTCGTATCGCACTCGTACTGCCCAGGACTGAGCTACACTCCGTGCTGTACCCCACACCACGCATACAGGACGCTGTATCCCAGCTATACGCAAAGATTATAGAGTTCGCCGTAATGGCAATCAAGTGGTACAAGAAAGGCAAACTTTCTCACTCATTCACGGCCATTATCAAGCCATTCAGTCTAGGGTTTAACCCCATTGTCGAAGAGATTGCCGAACGGTCGAAGGATGTCGATGAGCTGGCCAGCGCAGCGGTTAAAGCCGAGATTAGGGATTTGCATGTCAATGTCCACAGGCAAAATGAGACTAGACTCCAACTGACAGAGATGGTTTCTTGTAAGTTCAGGGCACGATATGGTCAGTCTTTCTGACTTGAGGCTAACGTAATCAAAGTTATGCAGCAACAGCAGTCTCTCCAGACACACTCTCCTTGCGTTGATAGAAGAGCATAGACAAATGTTCAGGGTCAGTCAAATTGAGGACATAAGGACAGTCGCGCTACTAGAGGATACGGCAGTAGCAGACGACAGCCTAGCCTGGTGCCGGTCGATGCGAAATCGACGGAGGCAGAAAGCACCCACAAGAGTTGTACAAACTGAGAGCCTGGGTGTCTGACCCCTCATCTTCTCTCCTCCTTGCGGAAGTACAGGGAGTGAAGACTAGCTCGCTTGATTTTGCAGCTGATTTCCTTGACATAGTTCTTGAGCATGGGTACCCTGTTATCTGGGCCTTGTCTTCCATTGTCACTGAGGTCGATGATGATAGCCTGGTCCCGTCGGTTTCAGGCATAATTCGCTCACTCATCTCACAGGCTTTGGCCTTGAACAATGCTGCCGTAAGTGAAGGCAGTAATCCTCTCACGCCCAAACACTTCAAGTCTGCTGTCAGCATCATGCAGTGGTTTGATATACTTGATCGTTGCGTGTCAAGTTTCCAGCAGATATTCATTGTTCTCGACATGAACGTTATTGAAGCTGCTGTGGAGGAAAAGGAAGCCGAGGATCAGTTTTTCAAGATCAGTGACTTCGTAGAGCGGGTCTCACGTATCGCACAATCAAAACAGAAAGCCGTCAAAGTCATATTTGCATCGTGGAGGTTTAATGCGATTACCTCCTTAGATGCCGAGTCTATTTTCGATGACAGGCGTCTGTTCACCGATAGAGGGCGGAAGATCGAGCGGCTGATGAAACAACCAAGGTTTCGAGCTGCGTTTAAGAGAAAACACCAGAACTTCCATGACAAGTTTAGATCTTCGATTACTCTGGGAGACGAAGATTCAAGGCCGTGATCTGTCACAACTCATTCGATCCGATTGCAAATGAGGTTGCATTACATGTCTGAAAAATGAGGTGGACTTAAGAAGCTGTTCATCAAATAAACGCAGATAACAATGTTTTGTGACTCCTTTGCGTAGCTGTGGGCACGTTGCTCACTCTTTGTGCACCAGGCTCTGCACCTTGACGAGACCTCATTGGGCCAGCATAATGTCCAGTATGATCTGTTTTCATCCTTATCTTACCTTAGTGAGCAAATCCCGCGCAAGTTGGCGCAGTCATCTTTTGAAGTCACGTGTGTCGAGGTGAGGCGAAGGTTGCCTGCCAGCCTGATTGATCATGTAAATCTAGGCGCTCATCCCATCCTAATTATCCTCAGGGAAGCAACAATCAGCCCCGAGATATATTCTCTCACTTTGAACATCGTTGTTGCTTGTTTTATCTTCTTGCTCAGTCTAGCTAGTCTTATGGTCGAGGCATCATACGTGAGCCATGTCATATCCATCAGATGAGCTCAACGAAGACCGCCTGCATGCCCTCTCCGCGAGTGGGCTTCGACCCCAGTTTGGGATCACTTGGATTCAGATGCTGATGCAGGCGAGGGAGAGCAGGAGTTTTCTCAGGATGCTCCGAGCCTATTCATCAGCTCAACTATTTCGCGAGACGGTACTCTGAGTCAAGCCAGTCAAGAACAAGGAATCTTATCGCAGCTTAAGGATCAGTTGTCATTCGGAAGTAAGTAATATTGACTTTCTCCCTTCATTCGTCAAGGCGCTGACATATGAATCTAGATCTCCAACTCAATAGCTCTAGAGGCGCACATAGTCTCCCATCATCAAGGCAGCCTAGGTTACCTCCCCCGCCACGTTTCCCTCCTCCACGATTTCCCCTTCCCGGATCTGAGTCTCCTCCTTCGCGACCACATTCCAGATCACCACCACCTTCCAAAGCGTTGAAGAACTCGAAATGGCGGGAAAGGCTCAAAGCTGAAAGAGAGATGTCTCCAGATGCATCTTCGAAGGAGGACAATGTAGGCAACATTGAGCAGGCAATTGACCTTCACATCCTTGAAGAAAAGAAAGAGCCCGACCACGATGTCAGTCTTGCCGAAACTCTCGCCTTGATGACAGAAAGGCAACTCGGCATCGACTTCCTGGATCAAAGCAAAAAGATATCCACCTTCGCGTCCTACCTTCTCGACACAATCCAGATTTTGGAGAGTCAAGCAGACTGTCGCGATGCCGAAAGCTCTGGAAGTGACTCTGGTAGTGACTCGCAAGATGAGGAGGTAGCTGTCGGCCAGCCTCCCGGTTATCAAGTTGTTCATCGAATCTTTTGTACAGCCAGATTTCATGATCACGACGGAATGAACCAGTGGCTCGAAAGGGCAAAATGTCTGGCGACACGAGATGGCTTCACACCGAAAAGGAGATTCTCAATCTCGACACATGGTTAAGTAAACGGCCATGGCTCTGCTTCATTGCCATTAAGGAGCACCGCATCAGAGGGCTGAAAACCAAAGATTCAGAGTCCGAAACTACGTAAGCACTCCCTCAGGCAGGCTCGAGAGACTCAGAATTGTGTCACCCGTACTCCAAAAAGCTTTGAAGCAGGTTGCGGAGTTTCAAGTTTACCGGAAAAGTGAACACGACGACTTTGCCGCAGAAATGGAGGCCCCGTATCTATTTATGTTCCATCACCGAAAGAAGCTAGCGGCATTGGCAGAGACTGGAGTACACCAAAGAGGTGATATTGCCTTTGACGAGGTTCCTCGTGGAACATTACGAGACTGAATACACGGAGGCCGAGGAGTTATTCCGCCAGGGGTACGTGAACGCTTACCACGTCCACAAGTTATTCAGGCCGAACCAAATGCTCCTCGTAAGAAAGAAAGGGGAGCCAAAAACCGCATTTGTACTATCCAAGTACAGTCTGGCGAAAAAGGAAGAGATAATACTTCATGGCTGGAGATGGCACTACAATGGCCATAATTTGCAGCGGACTACAGAACTCGAGGCGATAGACTTTGTACCCGAGGACAAGACCAAGATTTGCGATCTCGTCGTTCACCCGGTTGAGTTCGCCAGAGAAGAAGATGTAACAACCTTGATTCAAAGAGGAAAAACATTATGGAGCATGAGAGATCAAGTGTACATCTGCTACACAGGATGGGATAAGGGGTCGAAACATCAATATGTCGGGAAAAACACCATCAAAAGTGACCACTTAGGAAGAGGCTAACCTACTGCTAGGCATCTGCAAGGTTCATGGTGGACACGGCAACCTATCAAATCATGCACGGCCACTCCAACTACTCGTCGTCCGAACCGTCACCCGCAAATGATCCGTGGCCTATGAGGGTCAACCATCGAGAAGACTTACCGCACAAGGTTGAGATGCTTCTACCAGCTACTGTTCAGGGCTTCAATCTCGAAGAAAAGAACTGGGGTAAGAACACTAAAATGGAGAGGGTCACATTAAATTGATACTGATGCTCTTGTTGCAGTCAATTTGTATGTGGAGAACACTCATGCGGTAGATTGGAATTACAAGGCCTTTGATCGTCTTGTCTTGGATGCCAAGACCAAGGAGATGATTCGTGCACTCGTCGACGTTCAGACTTCAGCAAAGAAGATGGACGACATCATCGCTGGAAAGGGTAACGGCCTAATCATACTTCTCCATGGAAGTCCAGGAACTGGCAAGACATTGACGGCAGAAAGGTCAGCTATGGTCAAATATCCGGGGGACGTCGCGAGTGATAAGCTAAAAGTCTTTACAGTGTCGCAGAAATCGCAAAGAAACCTTTGTACCGAGTCACCTGCGGGGACATTGGTACTGATGTGGAAAAGTACCTTGAGACAGTGATGTACTTGGGAAAAACTTGGGATTGCGGTTTGTTATTATCGATATGAGGCAATCTATTTGGCTTAGCGTTGATGCAAACTGACATTTGGATAGTTGTCGCAGCGCCACACGTGGCGCTGCCGGTTACTGCCGTATGATACCGCTTTCCACAAGCCGATTACCCGTCTTGTACGGTATATAGATATGACCCTCATACGGATCTTCCACTTAGAGGAATCAAGCCACTTTCTACTATACAAGTCTTCCACTTGCTACCTCGTTTTGTGATAATAGTTCTTTTGCTGGATGAAGCAGACGTTTTTTTGGAAGAGAGAACCTTGGCAGACTTGCAGCGGAATAGCCTTGTATCTGGTACGTAACTTAGATCCCGACTTTGGCACTTGATTACATTGTTTATTGAACTTAGTCTTTCTACGACTCCTCGAGTATTATGAAGGTATTCTCATCTTGACGTCCAATCGCGTGGGAACCTTTGACGGGGCATTCAAGTCTCGTATCCAGGTAGCGATTCACTACGATAACCTGGCCAAGATGTCACGTAAAGCAATCTGGCAGAACTTCTTCGACATGATTCAGGAGTCAACCGAGGAAGATGCCAACATGCTAGAACTAGAGAGAAGACTCGATCACTTAGCCAAAGAAGATATGAACGGCAGACAAATCCGGAATGCGCTGCTCACTGCGCGACAACTTGCAAAGCACCGCAAAGAGAGATTGGACTGGGAGCATCTCAGCCAAGTAATCGACACTTCTGCTGCTTTCAACAAGTATCTAAAAGCAGTGCGCGGGCATACTGATGAGCAGTGGGCAAGGGGGGAATCGCTGCGTTAAGGGCAAAGAGCACGTCTGAGTGTCTTTCGAGTGGTAGAAACAACGGAATAGTCAATGTGTTCTTGTTTAAGCTCTTTCAAGTATGATTTAGTGAATGTGTCAAAGCGTATTGCTCCAGTCCTGATTCCACTAGAAAAGCGAGGCACCTAGTGTTCTCAAAATTGGTCTTCAAATATCCATCAAAGCGATTCAAGTTGCCATTAACTGAACAACACTCCCAATATCTGAAGTAATAGTTGAAGTGATTGGTATTTAAACTATTTCTCTCGACATAAGGCTGCGCTAGAATGATGGGCAAATACTATTCACCATGCTTGCTCTGGTAGCCGCGGCCGCAGTAGCCCCTATCCCCGTCAGAGACGCTAGCACTGCTGACTGGCTTCGTCTCCATCACCGCGCTGGCAGCAAAAGACATCCGAAGGAGGGCGGACGAATGGAGCAGGAGGGATAACGGCATGGTGAGGGGAGATGGTGTGATGTTGCCCCTCTTTAGGAGGGGGTCAGAGACCATTTTATTTACGTTATTCTTCAGCTTCTTCCCACCCGTCTATCTACCTTAGACTACGAGGGTAGGCTGTGTTCCAAGCTTTAGAGGCGTATCAGTGTCAGAATACATACATGAATGAGGGATAGATTTTTTAGCAGCGATCAGGCCAATGCCTAAGACTCAACTACCTAACTAGTAGATAATAGATGCGTCCAGCCTCGCCGCATCCCCATTTTCCCTCCTTTCTGAGAAATTCTGCTTCATTCCTGATTACTCAAGCACAAAGCGTTGTCCGGTATTATTCCGAGCCCTGGACAGGAGTAATACACTTTTCCAGTGTATACTCACACTATCCTCGCATCGCGGTCATAGATGGCAACAAGGAAGAGTATTCGGTCCGCACGATTTTGAACGGCGATCACTGGCTCGAGGACGATTCCAGAAATCCTATCATCATTGGCGTGAAACGAACATCATGAGATTGTTCGGAGACTCATATTTTGGCTGGAAATAGAATGATTTGCAGTAGCCAATATAGCATGGATAGAGGAAATTACTTGAGGGGGAATACTTGTAACGTATATGGATTAAGTGCGTTCTCAATGCCTTAACGATAGACAAGGTGTTCATAGCTATTGCATCTTCATAGAAACTTGAGTGGTATGTCTGTATCAAGATTGGCGGGGAGACAAGGAAACGAAAGTCGAGAAAAGAAAAGTCAAGAAAAAGAAGGGAACACTGATGACAGCCATGCTTCATTTTCTCCCAACCTCAGCTCGTCGGCATGCGTCGTCCACCACCGTTTTGACTCTGTCGTGGAACCTCCAAGTGCTCTTCGCCATCCTCGATATGTGCTCCAGTTTCAGTTTTCCTCCATCCTCTTGCGCCAAGCTGCCAGCAGAAAACAAAATATTTCTGATCTGTCTTCCGTTGAGCCCATCCGTCCAGTCTCTCGCCTCTTCCTCGTCCCTGAACCACTTGAGAATCTTGTCTTTTTGTTCCACCTGGTCAGGCTTGAGCTGTTCGATGAAGTTTTTGAAAATTTCCAACTTTTGTTCGCGTTGCAGATCGTCGTATTTGATGCCAAGATTCACGCGGCTTTGCACAGCGATGTCGAACTGGGTAATCCGATTTGTCGTGAGTATTAGGATGCCGTCATAATACTCAAGCACCCTTAATAGAACCGAGACTAATGCATTACGATTCAGATCCGATGTGTGACTGCTTCGTGACTCAAGGAAGACGTCAGCTTCGTCAAATAGCAGCACTGCCCGCCAATTCGCCGCGAGCTCAAAGAGTGCCTCTAGATTTTGCTCTACTTCCGCGGGTTTCAGTCCAATGTCGGACACGCCAACAGAAAAAAGGGGCTTCCCAGCGAGTTGGGCCACGCTTTCTGAATGATTAGATTAGAGGCGGAGTTCTTAAACTTCAATTCTGCCGTCTTCGGGAGCTTACCTGCAGTCAGAGTCTTCCCAATACCTGGCGGGCCATGAAGTAGTATCACGAGCCCTTTGCCTTTACCTTTAATGATGTCTGTCATCATAGGCTTTGAACTCGTACCACTTGAGTGACATCGTACCAGGTCTTTGATCAGTGACTTCTGCGTTGGAAGAAGCTGTAGCTTATTGAATGCGTCGGAGCTACGCAGCTCCTTAATGTCCTTGATACAGCTCTCCCATTCTTGCGCACCATCAGCTTGGCTTGCAATGTAGCTCCCCACATTCAACTCCAACCAAGTTCTTGAGTCAAGGTGATAGCCCAGTACTCGAGGCGGGCAAAGTTTGAATTGGAGGTCTTCAAAGTGATCTCGCGTCTTCACGCCGTCCCAGATCATCTTCTGGCTGTCTCTCAAGGCGGCATTTGCAACGCAGATTGAGCATCGGCATTCATTGTCTCTGCGAGAAAAGTTTGCTGATCCCATGGGTCCCGGGTTGCTTGAAAAGGGGGAGTACTGTAGGTAAGCTTCGAAGTCGACCATGACTCGGCCTTGGATACGTAGTCGCTTTGTAGGTCTTCGCTCTCTATTCCTCTGGCCACCTCTGCTGAAAAATCGCCTCATCATGGCATCATGATCTTCTTCATAGTAGTAGTAGTGGTGTTTTACATCATCAGGGACAGGTGCCCAGCTATCTATGTAACTAAGCTCCGATCAACCAGAGCGCCCTTTGGGCATATGATGTGCCGTGCCGCCATTATAGCGTACGACAAGTCAGGCAGTCTATAATGTACACTTTTCTTCTCGTGCCTAGAGCAGTGGAGTTTAGTATCTAATCCCCAGGGTCCGTTCAGTTCCAAAAAGCACGCCAGCAGGGGGTCCCTGACTCGGCAGAAGCGAATGGGTCTCTAGCAGCCCTACGCCGTCCACAGACGGCGTTGCCGCAACAAGTAACCGGCCCTCGGAGGCATATTTGCCTACGCGAGCATTTTTCTGTTTTCTTATATTTTCTTATATAGAAGATAAAGGAGGAAGGAAGAGAGAGGGGTGTGGTAAGGCCGGGGCCTCAAGGCGTCGGTGGGTGTGTGAGAGAGTTGTGAGGCGCGGGATCTCGGGCTCGCTATCTTTGCAGAGAGTGAGCCTCATAGTAGCGCGTCACACGCTCGAACTTCTCAAAGGCACCCGGGTCTCTGACCAGGGCGTACCAATAGGCTTCGGCCAGGCCTATCGGGGGCGGTAGTGGTCCCGGATCGTCCACGGTCCCGGTAATCGGCCATAGCGCCGAGGTACGGCGGTTCTTCGTGCAATATACTGGATGGGTAGGCGATAATTTCCGCCCGCAGTTACATTTGAAGTCTCCGTCGTGCTGAAAGCGCCTGTGGTAGGCGTGGAAATGGCCATGGCCAGAACGAGCAGCGAGGAGGTGGTGCAAAAGAGGACGCCGTAGGTCCAATTCCGGAGGGCAACGGAGGGCAGCGTCAGTTTTCTTATAGCCTGGTTTGAGCTTTTGCTTCGAAGTATGCCACCATCGTGAATGGTAGCCACGGGCTCTGGCGCGGGCCATCTTCGCTATCCCAGCGTATGATGCTAGCGGTGGAGGGTCAGTCATGATCTTCTTCGATCTGATTCTGAAAACCGCTGCCGTGAGATAGGGCGAACCCGTCATAGTCGAACATCTGCGATCCCTTGGACTTGAGACATAATTCCGGGAACCTTTCTCCACGTTCAAACAAGGAACTTTCCAGGCTATCCCGAAACATCTCATCAGAGAGGGAGGTGTTTTCTGATTTATGAAATTTGAAAGGGTGGCAATGGAGTGTGCTGATGACCTTACTCCCCGCATACTGCTCGAACTTGAATTTCACGGGAACTCGCTTGAAGCAAATCCCGTCCCAATCATAGGCCCAAGCAACCATCGACCACGACACATCGACAAGGCCTTCTCCTCCAAGTGGCTCTTCGATTTCCCTCTCCGCATCACAATCTTTGACTATGAAGAGCTGAGGCTCATTCATGAACAGTGCCGAGTAAACGATTTCTCCAGGAGGGAATATGGTCCACAAGTGCTCAAACTGGACCGAGCCGGAGTTGTGTTGCAATTCGACTGATTGGAAGTATTTGCTCAACTCGGGAAGCGACTTGACAATCTTGAGTAGCTCTGCCAGTTGTTTGCGCGCGATCTCGAGGTTGTTTCCTTTCCCGAGATATTCGAGTGCTCGTGCCTTTTGATCTTCAGGTCCGGCCACATTGGTGTCTGTACGGGGGCCCAATTTCTCAATGCGGATCTTCATTTCCGCAGTCAATGCAGATTCCACGAGGTTCAGTTGATTGAGACTCTCCCAATTATGCACAAGCTGTTCACAGGGGCTGATGAAGATGATTGGGTCCTTAGTGCCGTCCCAGGAAGAAAGGGAATCTGGAGACGGAAGATGCAAATTTGGATATGCCTCAAGAGCCACGCCCAGCAAGGCTTTTAACTTGGGTCCGTTGGCTTCGATCTCAGTCTCCAGGTATTTGTTGTCATCCCCTATGACCCTGACATAGGTCAATTGAGGAGGTGAATCGTCATCTTTACTTCCAGTCCAGATGGTCCCGAGTCCAAGATTGACCAGTTCAGAATGCTCCAAGACCCGCTCGGCTGGCCCGTCTTTGGGTTCTTCCAAACGTTGTAGGAAGCGGCAACGAATGAGAGAATTATCTTGTGATGGGGGTACGATGGTATTGCTCCCGCTACCATCTGCCTTGATGTTTTCCGGTCGCATTTCAGCGTAGAAGGCTCCTGAGTCTTGAACAGATTGCCGGCCACGGGCCGCCCAACCGCTATCAATTTTACATCGCCACTAAGAATAGTTCCACATCCATCAAGTCTAGACTGCTTGTTGACAATCACGACCGAAGTCTTAGCAAGTGTACGTGGACCCTGCTCGGTTTAGGCCGCCCACATACAATTGCTTGCTCCAATGAGTGGACCACAGCGTCCTTTTCCACTTCTTATTTCCCAATTGAAGACTGAGATAGCCTCCGGATGAATTGGACGGTGCCCTGCCTCCTTCGTCTCTTCAAACTCGATAGTCTCCCAACCTTCATCTTTAGGGTCTACTGTGGCGATGGCCTTGGACTCATTACCGGGTCCTATTGGTCCGTCTCGTCAGTTGAGGCACAGTTCCAGCAATATACGTTGATACCTTACCAGGTCCCACGCAGTCTGATCCCATTTTCTCACAAGCCTTGACCTCGTCTGGAGTCGACATTGATATGGTGAAGGGATTATCTAACAAGTAGGTATGGTACTGCAAAGATGACGAGAAACAGACTTTGCTGATCTAGGGGAGCAGGGAAGAGGATTTATACCATTTTGTGCGATAACGGGTCACTCGTGCATTAATCGCTCACTCCCTTCCTTACCTTGCCTATCAAGTGTCGGACAGACACAAGTCTATTGGTGACTTCTTTCACCCACACGTCATGCGTGGTCAACCTCAGGAGAATTGACGGAATGGGTTGCTGTACAATCATATTGATAGACTTCCTTATCCTGTAGCTCGTGTCTGTCACTATTAGGTAATTCCTCCTCTCCAAATCGCTGCCCCTTTGGGGGGCTCGCTCTGTTGTAAGGTGGTGGGCGTAACAATGCCCTCGCAAGCACTCCTTGCCTACGAAAACGAGCTGAAACCCGAAGATGTCAAAGAGGCGACTCAAATTATCAGAGTTCTGTGGTCCCTATTGAATAGATAAAGCTAATTATACATCGTCTATTCGTAAAGTTCGATAAGGCCAAATTCTGCCACTCCTCACCCAATGTTGACAAGAGCTGCTAGCTGGAGTATGAGGGGTGATGCATCATTTCCCTGGATTGAAGAGTTGCTGATTCATCGGATCAATGCAGATACGAATCTCGTCGATCACCTGCCGTATTTGTGCTACACGTCGCCCTACAGCCCATTGACATTGACGCCAGACTAAGCATCAAGAGGAAGCTCGACAGCTAAGAGGACCACGGCAGTTCAATATCGTCAGTCTCAACCGGCACCACCGCGCTAGGGATTCATGGGGCTAGCAAGACCACGCACTATATGGCGCTTATCTAGTGATAATCCTGGACCACTAGAAAATGTGCTGCAGCTCTAGAGCTGCAACCACCACAAGTACTCCCCATTTGGTAGCTACACTGTATCTGTGGTCTGCTCAATGTTCGCTGAGGAGCAGGCAATGATCTTCTAGCGGGTTACTACTGAGTAAGCATAATGCCTGTCAAGTCGCGGAGTCCCGGGCTTGCTTGCGGTTGGCGGTCGCCAAGCGAGATTCGCGCAATGGGTTATGCTTCCTCCTGCCTGTTATGGTGGCAGGTTATATTGATGTTACTGCTGGTATTAAGGCTAGATGAGTGGATGTGAGTTTAACACGGATCCATGAGTAACGGGACCAAGTCGGGTAACATAGATGGCATACTAGAATTAACATACGATACCTGTACTATCCTTTAGCGTGCAACGACTATCATACGGTATCCGCATAAATCCTGGTGAGCTTCCGCTGGAAGGGCGAAGACCTCAAGTCTTGTGGAGACTTATGCCGAACTCTCAGGGAGATGTCCCGCGTCTTGGTTATAAAAGGAGCTTGAGTTGTTGAACGATTGTATCGAGGAATCTGTCGAAAACCTAGATTCTTTAAGTTGACTGTAACAAACCTGCTCATCACTAAAACTTATCCAACGGCAAGATGAAGGTTGGTGAAGCGCCATTCATGCACCTTTAGGAAGAGTCTCTAACATTTACAGCTCACACTAGACACTTTATTCTTGGCCTTCATCGCCTTCAATGGATTCTCCTCAGCCGTCGGTTCCGTGCTTCCTAGCCTTCCCAGCACCGACATCATTCCCGTTATCCGCGCCGAAAATGCTACCATCGTTCAAGGACTAGACCTACGCCGAGACGAAGATGATTGGGAAATTGTCACCTACCAAGACGCTTGCGGCAGTGCCACCCTGGAGAACCTCTCGAGCAAAAGCAAGTCACAGTCGTGCAAAACCATCGAGTCCACCCGCTGCGTCAAGCTTAAGGTCGGTATCAACTTCGGGGTCATCTCGTGCAAATTTGGATTCAGGCAGACATCGTGCGCCAACACCCAGCACCAGTATACGGTCAAGCCAGGCGAAACTAAGACGCAAAGTGTGAGTGTGAGCGACAAGTTGGAAGTCAAATTCTCGTGATGGGAATATCCTGGCAGTCTATACACCGCCTGGAAAGATGAAGAATAGGGTCACGTTGTTTCGATTCTACTTGGGTCGTTCGCGGGGATATCGAGAGGGGAAACCTTGTCCTGTGATAGACGTCTCACCTGGCTAGGTGCTCGGTGTTCTCTTTACAGACTGTCGATGGCGGACGGAAGCATTTGCTTGTTTCATTCAACATGAGACTAACATCTTAAAATACTGCATAGCTCAAACATACTTATCATGATATGATTTAGGGCACAATCCTCACGGAATAGTGAATGACTGTAACAAAACCTGATGTATGCTAGTCCGAATCCCCCCCAGATGGCTGCTCTTCTGGCACCTTGAGGCTCACGAAGATGGTCGCAATAGCTTTGAACGTTGGCTATGCAACTGCATTTGTCCTGCTATTCGGCTTCGCACCTTACAGACATGAGAACTTAGCGCCACTCGTCGCTCAAGGCAGCTCAACCCGTGCCACTCTGAGATATGCTTGTCTTGCAAATCAGTGACATACAAGGCCTCGTTCAGTTGTAGATTGCGACCATGGTTCCGAGGTAATAGTTCACCCATAACTCAATCGTTATAAACTAAGGCACATGCTATGAACCTCTCAATCCATATTTCAATTCATTGTGACCTTCTCGTCAATATTGGCAGCTGATTACTATGGCACCAATGAATAAATCGGAACAGTGCAAGAAGCCGGAGCAGCCTACTAGTAAGAAAGTGGAACAACCCAAGAAGTTGGAACCAAGCAAGAAATCGGGGCAATTCAAAGCCCCGGAGCAACCTAAGAAATTAGAACAGCCTAAGAGATCAAACCGGCTCAAGGAGTCGAAACAACCTAAGACACCGGAACATAAAACATCGGAACAGAAGAAACCAGAACAGTTGAGGAAACCAAAACAACCTGAGGGCCAGCCTGGTCTGCAGACTACATCATGTCAAACCCTCGTTCTCACAGTCTGTCTCCAATATTTGACAATTGAGGAAGTGGAACAGATCATCGAGCAATTCAAAAGATGCCCATGGCCTGAGAATAAACAGGTGCTGTGGAGCAGGGTGAACAGGACACAAGTCCAAGCATGGGCAGATCAACGAGGAATTCAGACGCTCACCACCGCCATGGGACCTTTGATGGATCACAGCAATCCGCTGTGGTCACGATCAGAGGAAAGACCCTCGGCATGGTCTAAGTACGTGAAGGGAGCTTCTCTTGTCTTCGCGTGGCGTATTTCCCAGGGTTCCTTCACCACTGTCCTGACTCCACCACCACCAGAACGATTCCATCCAGATGGCCTTACCAACTGGCAAGACATAGAGGAGCTCGTCCTCAAAGGACGTCTTGGCACTCCAACTTCATGTCGGATCTTTCTAGCTCATCCAACAGTTCAAGGAGCCGAAGACTTCCGCTACCAGATTTGGCCCTTAGACTCCACGGATCAATGGATCGACAAATTCAATGTCCACGAGGCATCGATTCATGCTTGGAGAACTATTTCCAAGTACAGAAGTCAGTTGATGTCCTAATAATGACCAAACTTTATTTCGATGACTGACACAAGGCTGCCATGTAGCCTTTACAAGATGGGTGAGAGCTACTAGCGAGCCACTCAAATCGGCCACTACGATCAAGATGCCCCAAGTTTGCAAGGCTAAAATCGCGCCACTTCTCACTTCGACATCGTGCGATAAGATCTCTACTCCTGGCGCAATAAAAATAATCGAACCCCGAGCTCAAGCAAGGGGACTACCCCTTCATATCCGACAAATCCTATTCAAGCTTCGCAAAGTCAACGGAACGTTTCACGGACTCAAACAAATCTTGACACAAGTCTAGGCGTACCACAACTAAGCGAATCTATGATGACTCCTACAGATCCAATCCCGTCTCAACGAAGCCCAAAGAAGGTGTCTCAAACTCAAGCAGATGCAGGGACTCAGAGGAGTCAAGCCTCAGTCCCGATACCACAGGTCGAAGAGATATCAAGCCATAAGGTTGCCAATGAATCTGGATCTCGTTATTCGCAAAGTCAACAGAGTGTATCTCAGACACAAGCAAGCACTTTTACGAGTCAAGCCATACCATCCAACAAGAATGTCGCAAACAATGTGTTTTCTTATCTAAACTCAGAAGACTTTTTGACAAATCAACCGGATACATCTCAAGCTCAAAGAAATGAAGAGATGGATCAAACCAGTACGCCCCTGGTCCCTGCAGCGGATCAAAATTCCGTTACGGAGGCTTCATCGGCTTTTCTGATGTGTTTGCATTTGGCGATCGTGGAAATGGCTTCTTCATTGCTATTGGTCTCCATAGGCATTATCGTACAACTCATTCTTATCACCAAGCATACCGTCAAGGTCGACGGAATCGATCTAACAGGAATTTAATTTGGCGATGGTTCGACTTAGTCAGAACGCAAAGCGATTCTAAAAGCTGCGAAGAGGGCAAAGAAAATGGCCGACCCAGAAAGAAAGGCACAAAAAGCAGCACAAAAAGCAGCACAAAAAGCAGCACGAAAAGAGGCTCAGAAAGCATTGGATTCGGGTTCGGCACTGGTCACAGGGAACAGTGATATTCCGTTGTTTCATGAAAAGGGGGTCATGGACGAAACCGAGGCGGCCCTTGACTGCCAAGATACCTCCATCAACTTGCCATCGCCATCGATCACAAGGTCCGGAATTGATTTTGCAAGCTTCGGTTTGCCTCAGCGCAAGAAGAAGAAGAACAAGGGCCAGACGAAGGCCACGGCTGCGATAGTCACCGCGGGAGACGCGCAAGTCACTGCGTTTACAGAACCTAGGAGCGGGTATGCGCACAGCTGCCTTGGACCTTCAAATCCCAGCACGCTGAGAAAAGCCTCCTGGGTCGACTGAGGAAGAGCTTTCAATACGGCTAGTCACCAATTACCTCGTTTCTCAAGTAATACCTAATGTATGGCCGGGAGGACTAGATTGTGTGAAGTTGTAAGTTGAGGGCTCTGCACCTAGTATTTATGATAAGACAAGATAGATCACTTAGGACAATCTGCTTTAGGAGGGTATGCTTTTCAAATCTCGTTTGATTAAGGATTCAGTATGGTCATGGCTTAGAACAGGCGCGGACAAATCATCTCTAGTATGACAACGTTGTAACTTCATGTGTCCTTGTTGACATAATAAGAATAGTGTTTTTTTTTGCAGTGCTATGTCTAGGCTCACAACTGAACTCCAAGAGCAAGAAGATGGTCTCAAGTTATTAGAAATTGGCGTTGAACACGAGTGAAGTTAGGCAAGCCTTGTAGAATTTTCTAAACATATACATATTATAGTAAGAGTACAACTGACGTGTCTCTATTGGATTCACCTCAACGTCCAGCTTGAACTCACTAAGTCAGATGATTCGGAGTAGATGTCTTCTGCCTTGGTTGTCAATTATCGATACAGAAACTAGCGAGAGACTCTGACGATGTCCCTGCTTGGATCGTACACAGCCGTGGGAAGCCCGGGCAGTACCTTCCCAGTTCTTGTGATAACGAGCTCATACCGTCAGTGCCGAAGGAACACGGGCATAGCTCGTCATCGTCGATCGACATCAACGAGACTAGGTTGCCTCAATATCTTCGCTCGCACATCGAAAGATGAATAATGACACGTGAAATTGGAAAGCCTCACCACCGTGGCTCCTCCCATCTCGATGTCACATCACGCATCAGCTCACGAAAGCCAACCGCCTGTTCCCAAGCTAACCCGCAATACCAACACCTCACCTCACCCATCAATCGTCGGCCGAGCTATTGTTCCACAAAACTTGCATCATCGAGAGACGATCCCTAGTTATTCCCCTCTCTTCACAGGCCATTTTTATTGAAGCACCCCAGAATACGAAGCAGTGCTGGGCATTGAAGTGGGTGGAGCAAAGGGTGTAAAGGGGCCTAGACAACGGGACGATCACTGGTGTCACTCAAGCCCTCCACATCATCCAAGTTCAGGGTCCTTTCCAGGCGGGCAGCAAATCAGGAAGGGTGTGTTTGGATGGAAGAGGGATCAGCAGCGCTGCACACCCTCTCACGCAACCCATCTGTACGTTATGGCTGCAGTTGATAAGCAACGCAGACGCGCCTCATTGAACCCTGAAACTTCTTCTTGCAGGGCTGGCGTAGCTGTCTGTCTTGTGTGGGATATGAGAGGTCAATCGCTTGGGTATCAATCTCACACCCACTGGCACTGGGCGAGCAGCGAGGTCGCAGTACACCGGTATGTCTGCAGCAGACAGCTTCGGGCCTAGAAGGGGAATTATGCCAGTTAAAACAGCGATTGAGCGAGGCTGGATGGGGAGCACCCTCAGATAGGATGATATTTCCCGACCCTCCATCTCAAAGTCCTGAATATCGTCCGAGATGGACAGAATATTGTTGGGGCCGTCATCATCGCGGTACGAGGCGAGATGTTACGGATTATATGCAGACCGTGGATCCATCGCGCGTTGTAGTGGCACGGTTCCTAGTTTGACTGTGGATGGTGGGCGTTTAATCTCGGTGTGATATTTGACAACATAATTAGCAAAAGCTAAGGTAACGGCAAAAAGTCCGGAAGAAAGTCAACAAAGCATTGTTCTCTCCGGTAACGCAAGGACGGTGAGGGCAGAAGAAGACGCGCACAGCCTCGCGCGAACCTTGCCGCCACCCGGCCGAGCGAGCCACACACGGAGAGAGAAGAAACACAAGCACACGCACGTAGAAGAAGGGGGTGAAGAACAAGGTGGTCGGGGATTTTGCAGACCAGCCAGCCAGACCCAGTCCCTACAGCATCTAGGGACCCTGCCAACGCCGCAGATTATCATAGTTACCGACCTCGTTTTCGCCATGTCAATCCATGCAAACGCACTGAAGCTCACTGAAGCTTCTTCTGCTTTAGCAGTCTAAGTCTGTGCCGCTCCTCATCTCCACCAGCGTTGGCAGCGGACGCCTCTAGGTCCTCTTCCCAACAACAACGCAGCACACGTAACACGTATGCATAGAATCCACAGAGGCGAGATTGACAAGTTTGGTTCCAAGGCAAAGGCAAACTAGTGTGGGAGACGTGCGCGGCGTCGTGCTTCGTTGGAGTGATGTTTGAACGCCGGCGGCTCTATTGTGCTCCACATCGGTCTGATATGATGGATGAGGAATGATTATGTGATGATGGCCCGTTCGTTCCCATCGTTTAGCCTCAACATGATGTGAGCAGCACCAGAGTGGAAACCCAAGCAGTGACAAAAGAATTGGGTCTTGCGGGGGTTGGGTTCGGGTTCGAGGATTGTGGGCTGGTGGTCCTGTCTCCCTTGCGCGAACTCCTCGACCGCCTGGACCTTCTCCAGAACTGAGCTGAGCTGAGCTGCACGACGGCCGCTGCTTTGCGGAGACGGGAAGGGGACTTGAGGGGAAGATTTTCCTTCGATCAGCGGGAGTCTACATCTCTGGGGAACAAACGCAAAACGGCGGTTGGGGCTGGATTCATCAGAGACATCAATTTCCACAGATAAGCAGTACGGCTTATTTTCATCTGGCGTCTCACCCTCGAAATCTAGTAGATCCCGATTCCCGCTCATCGAGGGCAGACAAAAGCAGCAGCGGCTCGTCCGCTGTTCTCAGCGATGCGGCGGACGCCGGGGGAGGGGGTGGAGAAACATGGGAGGAGGACGTCAACATGGAGGCTCGACAAGTCCGTTCGTCATTTTTCTCGGACTTCCAACGAACCATGCAATCCACATTCAATCCGCATTGCATATACTGTCTATTTCGAATCCGTACATACATCGTGTTGAGCGTATCAGAAGCATCGAAAGAGCTGGGCAAAAAGCGTCAATATTGCCTGTGCCGCTCATCCACCCCCGGCCGCCTTCGTCTCCGCGCTTATTAGCAACCCACGACCGCAGGCACTGGAGCCGACCCATCCGCTGGGTCTCGTTAACCGTGAGTCGACATCTGCAAGTGAGCCTCGAAGGGGGAAGAGAAGAGCCTCCTCGCATCTTGACAGTCGCAGACCGACGGTCTAGAGCGTGGTCCATCGAATCCTTCACCCCCTCTTCACCTCACTCTCACCTCCTCTCATAGAGCTACAGCCAACGCTCACCGGCCCGGGTAGCTCTTGGCCAAGGGCCTCTCCGTCTGATCCACGGGCAACTCGAGCGCACCACCCGCTCAGTGATCGACAGTGTCGGCTTTGCTTGTCAGATTTGGCGCATCTAACGGACAGCTCCAGATGCTGCAAAGCTTACGAAAGAGGCGAGCTTCCAGCCAAGCTTGGGTTTCTTTGCTTGAGGCGGTAGGTCTTGCTGGTGTAGTCGGGGAGCGGAGGACTCCGCTGCCGGCAACTACAAGCCCCGTCGCCATCGCCTTTGAATTTTCTCACACCAAGACACAGAAATAGCAAGATTCAACGTCTATCAAATCCGATCTATGCTCAAACAACTCAAACCCCCTCCTGGCGACGTGTACCCCCTCTTCTCACGCCTTGTTCTGATATGCCTCGGGAATTATAGCTGCCAATCTCTCAAGACTGCGCCTTCAAGCAATAGCCAGACAGTTCCCATGCTCGTAGTTCCCAAGAATCGTGCAGCGCAGTGGCTCATTCGTCATTCTCGCGCCTGGTCCCCCCTAGTAGAGGCGAAAAATCTCTGCAAGTAATTGGCAGGGGTCGACATCAACCTGCAGTCCCAACTGTCCGATATTGTCTCACCATATGTGCCTCGCTGAAATGCTCTCTCTTACGTCTTGCCAACCCTGGATCTGAAAAATCCCGACCATCGGCTTTCAAGCCTCGAAGGGGTGGTCTTGTATGCCACGGATTGGTCGATTAACCACTCAACTCATCTCATCCCGTTCCCGTTGCCGCTGACGGGCTTCGTTCCGAGTCCCGACTCCCATCGCCGTCTTCGTCGGTATCGCAATATGACTATTGTTGGGGTGCCTCATCCGTTTTGACATGTTTGACATCCGCAACTGGCCTGGATCTCCGCGACCCCTGGTCTATGTGATGTGCTTCGGAAGATTTCACGCGTCAATTCATGCTTCAAGGACATGCGAACTGGTCGTCCCCATCGGAGCCACACATCGTGAACAGCACACCCCTTGTCTTTCCAACCCATGGCCAACGGCTAGGCCTTTGGCGGCCACCCCTTGGCCCTGCAACGACACCAAACCAAACATCGTGAAATGGACCGGGCATGAGCCAAACTGCAAGGCGCAAGAAACGGCTCAGCCAAACCCCCTGCCATGCTCGTCACATCATGAGGCTCTCCACCACGACGACGACATCTTATTCCCCGTTTCCCATCTGCCATCCCTCCAGTCCGTGACAACTCCACATCCCCCGCTAGCCACGTTCGTCGCCTGCCCAGATAACGATCTTAGCACCATCGCCGCGCAAAACAAAAGAACTCTTGCAACTCCCTGAAGTAGCAAGATCCCCTCTGCCACACGCTCCACGCACGCCCACTCGCCTCGCTCGTTACCTTCTAGACGAACGCCTCTATCCCTATTTCTGTATGATTGTATTTCTGGCTTACCCGGTCTTGCCAGCCAGAAACCAGCCCGTCCAGCCCCTTTGCCAACTATGCCAGCCCATCCAGGGCGCTAGAGAGCTCCGCTAGGAGAGCCAAGGTGAAGAAAAGCCTCAGAGTTGGACGAAACCAGCCAGCGACAGCGCCCACCGCCGCCCTAGCAGAGCTGTCCAGCGCACCGTCGCGGGCGCCATCTGCCAGGCGTGCCAGAGAAGCTCTCGGCTGGCTAGTAGTTCCTGATAGAGAGAAGGCAAACAAAACAATGAACAAGCCATTAATTCTCCATGCCAGCCTTGCCAGCCTCCGAAGCCGGCACTATATCAGTCGTGGCATAGTCAAAGCGTAAGAAGGTTATGCTGCTTTTGCGTTGCGATGGAAGAAAATAAGGGTTATATCCGGAGATACAACAAGACGACTAGAAACACACCGACAGTAGACCCTCGCGCTGACTGATTGACTGACTGACCGACCTCGAACAGAGGGTGGTGGCTGCTTTAGAGAACCCTCGTCTGGCACTGACACTGCAAACACAACCCAAACCACCAACAGCCAACCCATCTTGGCATCTCGCTCTAGCTCCCCTTCTAGCGGAGAGATTCTTCAGAGCAAAACTAGAGACACGTCTCTCTCTCTATGTCCGCTGTCCGCCTTTTCTCCAGGCGGCTTAGGTTCCCCCAACAAGAATAAACTTTCTCCGTGCTGTGTGTGTGTTGCACCACTCCCACCCCGACCGGACTGCCCGCACAGACTTGCCCCAGGGGAGGCGAACAAGACCCAAACGCGACAATCCCCTCCTTCTCTGGCACTGGGGGATCAGTTCTAGGCGCGGCGAGCAAAGCTACCGTGCTCTCGAGTGGATATCATCTTCCTGAAGAGTTAGAAGGAAATCTCTGTTATGTTCAAGGTTCTCTTTGCTATTAGAGGGGAGGGTGTTCGAAGGAAGCCATCTCGAGAAGTTCAGGCTCACCGCACATCCTTCTCGATTTGACGCTGTCTAGGGGCTTTCTGGATCTGAGATATGCCCGCACCCTTGCCCGCATCCGCATCACACCTTTGGCATCCATGTCTAGGCTGAGGCCCCAGACGCCCATTCAGAATAGCGAAGCGGCTGGCAAGGCATCCGTAGCATGTAGCATCGTGGCACGCAAGCGCAATAAACGCACAGTAGTCGTGACTACCTACCTAGTATTAGCAGTTGGCAGCATCAGCAACAGCATCCATAATTTGTGTCTGTATCAGCAATGGTGGATAGGTAGGTCCCTGGAGAACCCAAAGTAGAGACTGTCGAGTTCCAGACCACTCCCTCCCTGATAACAGCGTCTCATCATCGGAACCCGGTCGCATGCCATGCCACCACCAAACTCCGGATTGCATTTGCAGCACACCCAAAGAGACGCGCATTCTCACACATTCGCATACACACCTAGACCGCATTCCGCATACTGCATGTCGGAAGACGCAAGGCCCTTGGAGGCTCCGGCCCCAGCCCCCAGCCCCCAGCACCCCCCAGTGTCCCCATCCATGTGGCTACAAGCCTACGACTATGTAGTATGTACAGATGTCCGGGAGTCGCATACAGACGAGATGGCGAGGAGGAGAAAGAAAAGGGCAAAGATTTGCAACCACTGACAGAGTCTGGGCCATGGAGAACCAACAAATGCGAGTTCTCCCCACGCACGCCACCACCATCATCAACCATCCTGCGCTCGTCCTCGTCTCTACGACCACCACCTACACCACCACCAAGATCTTAGAGAGAACCCTCCCGCATCCATCTCACCTCCTCCCATCTAGGTATACCGCTATGCAACAAGAAATACCTCCCCCTACAAGCCCGGAATCCCCTCAAACTACTCACTATTCTCCACCCAGCTACCACCGCCTCCCACAACACCTCCCCGCGTCTCGCCCCGTTTCGTCCGCGCCCGTCGCTGTCCAACCCAAAAGCCACAATCTTCAATGATCGTCGGACCCTGAAAAATCAAGAAAACCTGATCTTCAGACACACAAAGGGGTCCAACTCAGGTGGCAGCCAGCAGCTCAGGTAGCTCTAGGCGGTAGCGTCGTGTTGCTGCCGCTATAGCTGCTTTTTCTGCACGCAAAGCAGTGAACTGACGTCCATCTCCCCATGGAAATCATCGCCTCGCCTGAACGTGGTTTTCCAGCCCAAAGACATGATTTGCATCCTCGCATCCACGCACGCAACGCAACGCAACGCAACGCAAGCCTTCCACCCAGCGGCATTGCACATGAAAGAGACTCAAGAAACGCCATTGACAACGATCTCCCCAGGACCCCTATGGCCTCACATTAAGACGCCCATCGAAAGCCACATGTTACATGTCTTCCATTGGGTTATCACGTCTCCATGGTCGTCTAGTCGTAGAAACTGCAACCCAAAAAAGATGCAATGCCACGTGTGAGCTGACGCCCAAGAATTCCTCGCTGAAATTCGAATATTCCATCATCAAGCCTCTCTCACGCATCATCAATCACCCTCACATCTCACAAAGCAGACGTGAACCGAATGGCCTCACCCATCTGCACAATTACGAGGCCCCCATCCCTTCTCCTTACCATCGCGGTTCCCTCCGCCCACCACCCGACATCACCCATTACACTACTATTTGTAACACCAATACCTAAGCCACCCAAGAAGGGAACACACAATGCCGTAGGTGGTGTTGAAAAAAATGCCTCCCCCCATCCCATCCCCCTCTGATTGCTTCTCCACCCGTGGCGAACGGTAAGCCGTGGCGTCTGCAACCGCAACCCATCAGTCATCCTCGAAACACCACCGACTAAACCAAACGAAGCGTCGATGCCATTGCCGAGTGTCCATTCGTGCAATGGCAGTTCGAGACTGGTCTGATCTCTATTTCCCAGTGGCTGCCCCTCCCCCCCCCCCCCCCATCTGCGCCTCATTTGTACATTGCGCACCACAACCCACTCGCCTCGAAAGCGATATCCACCACCAAGAGAGAAGCGCCGAGATTATGTCAAGACTCAAACCTCCTCGTCGAGAATGGCCCGAACATCCCCGAGTTCAAACCACCATCTCAGATAACCTTGCACGCCCACACATCCATCATCAAAAAGAGACAGTCATGGAAACACCAATCTTCTCCACCAGCATCCCATCGCCACTGCGCGGTTTTGACAAACATTAGACGAGAAGAGGCATACGTCCGCCCGCTAGACTTTTTCAACCCCATCTTGTAGCCCAACAGATAGCATTCGTCTCCCCAACGTCCGCCGTGACAAGAACGTTAGTGGTCAATATCCACGATACCAAACATGAGAACGGGGATCGTCAATGAACGTTCCCCGGGTCGCCGAATCTGATTCTCATTTTTACCGCCGTTCAGGCTCCCGGGATCCAGCGAACCCACCCATCCCCGTCCGTGTCCGGAAGCCGGGGAACCTACGATAATTCAACAAACCCTTCCCCCCCCCCCCCCCCCCCGCAAAATCTAATCCCCATGCGTCCGTGTTCCTGGAAGCCCATCGTGCCCAGATTGTTAGTTCAGTTAGTTATAAGAGACAAGTCAGCCGCGGAAAGTATAACCAAAACAGCGGTGATAAGACTCCAACGACCAAGCTCAACTAGGGACACAAGCACTGACTTGAAGCCTTCAACTTAATCCCCGCAAAAGCTTGTCCGAATCAGATACAGAGACTTTTGCAACATGCCAACAATCTTTTCTTCGGGCTTGTCCCTCTACACCTTGTTTCCATGTTCGTGCCATTCAACACATCCATGTTCGTGTCACCAATATCATCCTACTGCCACGCTCCCTCCCCATCGTCGGGCAAAAATCCCCCTTGTCAGACTTTGACTCTGCATCTCGGAGCCGGAGGGAGCCTAGGAAGTGGCGCTGAAAATGTCAATCAAACATGTTATTCTCAACGACCGTGCATTGCATTCCAACGTCCAAGTTCCATGTCTACAAGCCCCCAACCAACGCACGGTGAGAGCTGAACACAAACACACCAACAACCTCCAGGGCAAAATATGCCCTGTCCGTCCGGGTTCAGGGTCCTCAAAGACCGGTGAATGCAGCCTCACTCACTCGGCTGTGTACATTCCCCGTCAAACCATCAAGCCCGGCATCGGAGGCTGATAACTCTCTTTCTCATCCCCGTCCGTGCTGTGTCACAACTCTCGTGTTCCCGGAAAGACTATCCCCAAGTTCCTTGACTACCTACCTTGTATAGTAGAAAGCCCGTCTAAACTTGCCTCTCCCCTTATCACTACCCGCCGGAAGAGATGCAGTGTAAACTGCGGCCTGCCGTGTAAATATCGCGCCATCAAACGGTGCGACTCCGGCACGATGTCTTCTCACACCCCATTTAAACGTCGGCGACCCGATGGATCCGTTATATCCGTCGATTCCACTCCTCCCCAAGCTCCTCCCCCGAACCCACTCGCCGATGAACCCCGGAGGTCCCACGATATCTAGTCCCGCGTGTGACGGTTCCACCGACAGCCGTTGAAGCCGCGTCGACTAACAGACCGATGATGCATCGCATCGTTCAGCTTCCCAAGCCGCCGACCATATCGCCGTGCAACTTCTCGCGGTGCATCTAATTTCTCACACCCGTCATCACGCATCACCTCCGTGAAATCCAGAACCAACAGGGCCCCGCACGCGTTGAGCCTGGCATTCCTCAGCTCACGTCCGTCTCCTACAATCTCAATCCTCAGTGTTAATCGGTCTAGACCATCAACGCACCTCTGCAGAGTGGCAGAACACACGTATGGAGTATTCCCATAAAACCCTTCCCCGCGTTATGTTCACATCAGCGCCACAGACTGCTGAAGATCCCGCCCTCATCCAACACATCATGTCTCGCCGCGTCAAGCGTCGTCTCGTGCTTGTCTCGCCCTACTCCTCACCACATCTCCCGTCGGTCGCGTGTTAGTGACGACTGCAATAGCAACTGAACCCCCTTTTGCGCTCCCTGCGGTCCCTCCCATCATTCTTCCCCGCGCAGCAGGCAAGGTAGCAGCAAACGGGCGCCATCTCCACCCCCTCCTGATGCCCTCTGCATGCAGGTTAGCTCTCCGTGTCGTGCTGACTGCCTCGACTGCTCGAGTGCTTCAACACGCTCACAAACGTCCTATCCAGTTCACATGTCTCTCGTCTCGAAAAAGGTATCTCCATGTTGCCTGCGTGCCTGCTGCTCTCATCTGGTCTCCCATACCCACACCTGCTTTGTCATTGCAGATACGGCAGGCAAAGCCAACGTAGCAACGGTCGATGAGAAGACCCCGCTGCATTTGTCCCAGACACAAACTCGTCGCCGCGTTCGGGACGCTATCGACGCGGGAGCACCGGATTGGCAATCCTTTGCATACCGGTAACCCTCTTTCCCTCAACGGCCTTTGGCACCTAAGCATCCAGTGCTACCTACTTTTCTGCTGGTAACTGCCACCAGCCAGGCACTACGCCATGCAGAACATCCAACCACCAAGAACAGGCACGCCATATCCGAGAGAGGGATACCGCCCAATCACACGGTCCATGAGGCTGGCTGCTAGGAAAAGAGCCGCTGGGTTCGACCAGAGTCGAGTTGGTGTGCTGACGGCGCGGCCCCTGTCCCGCGACTCTGGCTGCGGCCGTGAACATAGAATCGAAACATGATTACCTATATGCCCTTCATCTCAGAGCTCGAGCTGCCACGGCCAAAGCTCCCCATAGGTAGTGCCCAGAGAGCAACAAAGGCGGGGTCGATCTGGAGACTGACTTGCATCTCCACCCTCAACCTCGCAGTGGTGTTTCCAATGTGGAAGGCTGCAGGGAAATCTTCCCCATCAAGCTGCATTGCAGTCTGCATAACAGCCTCAGATGAGGCCCAGACATCCCCGCCCGTCTTATCAAGAGAGATATCGAGTATGGCTGATGATTCCCGAATTGTGCTTCAGCCATGAAGACATCGCAATTCCCCCGCTGCTGCCAGGCCTCGCACACGCGTCCAGAACTCACCGATGTGGATATCTGGTGTGGATGCGTGGAGGACGACATCAGACTCCAATGTCCCTTTCGTGCTGTCCACAAATTGCCTGCAAGGCATCAAACCAAACGCCCGCTGAATTCAGACCAGACTGGTTTGCCATCCAAGCTCTTCCCGCAAATCTCCAGTGTTTTCCAAAGCAGCGAGTACTCGAGATGGCTGGCGTGTAACGTATCCTACAACCAAGCTTAGCACAAGACATTCGCAAACACTCTCCGCCATTGACTATCAGCCGTACAACCTACCTCTCGTCCGTAGCTGAAGATCAGTTCCCCAGACTACCCCAGGTTCCCAGCCCCGGGGGAGGAAAGCCAGTGTTGAACAAGGAAAGGACCCTGAAAACCAAACTCAAGCTCGAACTTGCAGATCAGTCTTGATTGTGGACAAGTTCATGTCTACTCATCCAACACCCGTGCCGTGTGTGTGTGTGTGTGTGTGTTTCGTCGCCGAACTCTGGACGGACACACATACACACACCTCCCCCCCCTAAAGCGGCCAAAAAGCATGCCTTTCTTGGTCTCCGGGAGGCCCCAAACAGGAACACATCTGAATTGCCGTATTCTGAATTGCCCCCTTTGCTCCATCCGGCGCCGCTCCGGGGGGAAACTCAGACGCCATGACAACAGCGGTGAACCCAGCCGACCACTCCGCTTCGGTATCCCGCCACCACGTCGAGCAAGCAACACCTCAACACAAACGCCTCGGACGAATTAGAAAAGCACCGGTCTGCGGGCGGCAGTCGACGCCCAAAGAAGGTGGCGGGCTTGAACCATTGTCCAACGTGGTATGGTACTGGAAAAAACGTCCGTGAGACCCCAAGGTCTCGTCTTAGCGCCTGGCCCGCCTCCCCGCTTTCTCCAAGCTAGACCTGGGGGACCAAGGACGATGCTGAAACGGTCTCTTCGCTGCTCTGTGCCACGGTACGCCGTAGATATGCAAGGTCGACATGGCATGGCACCGGGGCTTTCACGTCGTCGTCGCAGTAAAGGTTTGTGGGGTAGCGATGCGAGATGCTGGTTGGCTGGACGAAGAAGTTGCCTCTGTATGTCGTCTCATCAACGGGCATGGCATTGCCTGGGAGGAAACCGCCCGGTTGGTTAGATGTTGTCCGCGGCGAGTTGTAACAAACCGCCATGTCATGATCCTCGTGCTCCGGTAGCTTGTCATCCATCATGACTAGCGAATAGGTTCATCATGGTGTAACATCGTCATTGCTCTACACCCAGTCAGCCCATGCTCAGTACCAATGAGGTGTCTATGAGCAAACCAAAGATACCATTGCATTGCCAGCAAAGTCTTTGCAACAATGCCTCATGAAGTAAGCCGGCGACAGCCCATATTGATGCCACCAGAGCCCCCGAGGCTGACTGCATGCTGTGGGCGTGAAACGGGCAGCAAAGTAAGTCACCGAACCTCGAGAATGCGGGGTAGTTGCTTACCCTCCCATTGGTACGATATTGGGGAATTGCGACCTCGACGAGCGGATGTTGATGGCAAATACCATGTTTCCTCATTCTAGATTCGTTCTCTGTTGTGCAACATTGCCGGTGAACGTCTGGGCAAAGCCCGAGGGTCGTGTGCTGGCTAATGTTGTGCAACCCTCCATTGAAGCAATGGAAAGAGACCATCCGAAGACCCTGTCGAGGACCTATGCTGGAAGTAAAGGGTATAGATAGTGTGAATGGGGGTCGTCGACTTCCCCGAATCAGAGGAGTATGATGTGACGATGAGATACGTATTTCGAGGCGGCTAGTAAGCCAGTTGAAAGGGGTCTAAATGGGAGCTTCCGTCTCACTGCCTCATTGTGATACCAGTGGTTGCTCAGTTAAGCTTCTGTCTCGTGAGTATTGTGTCAGATGACCAGTCTCGCTATATTACTGGCGAACCGGAAAAGCTTCCTGGAGATGTCGTGCCCCGGATGTTCCAATTACTCGGAGGGCCAGGACATCGGTGCCACTTTCAAAGAGGTCGAAGAGGAAACTCAGTTTACCTGTCTTGTCTTGCTGAACTGTGAGATCGTATCACAGCACGTGTACACGCAAGTCGCACATATCTTGCCGGTGCAGATATAAAAGTTGACGAGTTCAATCCGTTGCCGCGGGCCAGTCGTGTTGCTACAACCGACTGACGTGTTAAACCCGACGTTGCAGGCTCGAAAGATCACGAGATCCTTGACATCTTACGAATCTCCCTCGCCTGCCGTCCGAGAATTAGCAGCTCATGCACCCTGCCGGCTTCATACCCATCGGGTTCTCGGCGCGGCTTCGGCCGGGCATCCGATGGCCTGCATGGCAAACTGGAAATGCCATCTTCGGACCGTTGGGAAAGCTTGGAGTGATCGCTCCGGCGTGCACGGCAGGAAACTTTCCGTGCGGCAGACGCCCTCGCGTGGTTTGCGGCGCGGTGAAGATGCTTCTGGCTAGGTAGACCAGAATTGATAAAGAGCCTCATCCTAGATCGACACGGCGACGTCCGCGCGGTAGCAAGTGGGCCACGGTTCCAATATGGCACCGGCAGAAGGACAAAACTCTATCTCGTAGATCTGTAGACCAACAAACACCGTCTGAGGTGAAGAAAGATTGGCCAACCATATGGCTCCATTTGAGCTTCCGCATCTTTGAAATAAGACCAGATGGATCTCACCGCTGTTTGATCGAGCGTATGTCCAAGATCAGCATCAAAGTGCTAAGCCCGAGCTCTAGTAGCTTGCGCATGTAAGATATTGAGGATGTTCCATTGTCCAATGGAACGTCGGCCATCCCATTGAGGGATATTAGTGAGCCGTGTGAGCCAAGACGAACCCAGAAGCATCCACAGAGGTGTCAGCCACGGTAGCCGCCAGTGGCGAGTCTCTTAGTCCGACTGCGGCGGCACGGTAGGTGACGGGATTGTGATGGCTGCCCTAACCCCAAAACCACACGTCTTCTTGGTTTCCTGTACATGGGGCGCAGTTACGCGTGGCTCGATGCCACCGGGGTCAGCCACATTAGAGATAGCGAGACCTTGAAGAGTGAGTGGCGCTTCATTCAAGCCCCAGGGCCCTGATAGATAGGCAAGTCTCTAGTGTGCGAGCGTCTAGTTGGTGGAGAAGCGACGCCTGTTCACGGGATAGAGGTCGCCTGCATCTCAAAACCAAGGCAGAGCCGCTGTGTGTGGAAGCGCAAGCGAAATATCTTTAGGAGGCCTGCCGTTTGGGGGCCAATCCCCGGGCGAGAGGTACGCGTCTCGTCTTCTCACTGAAGCACGAACCGTCTTCAGATTGCACGGCAATCTTGGCTGCAAGGGACTGATCAAATATCAAGGAAGCCATCGACAGCCTTGAGTGCCGAACTGCCGTTATGCCAGATGCAGTGGACTAGTGATTTGTTTGGCTAGATTGCAATGGCGTTGTGCGGTGTGAGCACGGTGAATGTCTCGGTAGCCTCTAAAAGGTCTCGGTGTAGAGGCGGTCAGGACGGAACGCAGCGCGAAGAAACGTCTACAGCAGCACGCATAGTTGTAAAGATTGTGCCTTGTGTGCCAACTGCCCAAACAATTTGATTCCAAGAGCACACTGTATGTCCAAGACGCCTGAGGGGGGGTCTTGGGGAGGGGATGAGGTGACCAGGGTGCGTTCACTCGCAGTTTCGCACGGCTTTGTCGATTGCCTCTCGTGTTCGGTCGAGATGGCCATGCCATTTACAGATGGCAATTTCCAAAGCCCAGGCGCGGAGGAGGCTCGAGAGAGGCGTCTTGATCGGTTCCATTGGTGGTCTAGATTCATCCTAGAGGGACCGTTGAGCGAGGGTCGGCCCATGGGGGTGGGGTGCCTCTGGAGACTGCAAACCACCCATGCCGGGTCCATCTGGAGTGGACACTGCAGAGACTCCATAGTCATCGATGATCTCTGTTTGAAAAGCTCCGGTATCAAGATTGTACGGCAACCTCTCCGTCTCCGTCTCCGTCTCCATCTCCATCGTCCAGATGAGTTTGAGCCTTGGAAGGTAAGTAGCTTGAGACCATCCACGGTCGTCCGGGAGAAGACCAGTAGCAGCTACTGTCCGCCGGTGACTGGTGGCCGGTCATTCTACTACACAGAAAGACTCGATGGAAGAGAGGAAGCATAGCATCTGGTGATGAACTTCCAGTTGTCGACAGCTCATGCGGGCTCTCTCTCGCGGCTCGCTAACAGCTGGAAGCCTCAGATAGAAGTGGACGTTACTGCTGGACTGAAACTGCGGGCTCTGGCGGACGCTCTTAGCGCACGGAAAAGACGCCTACTGCCCCCCTATAGTCCTCTTTTGGTCTCCATGGCCCCCTTGGTCTCCCCTGTAGCAAGGACGCCAGCACCCGCCTGAGGCGGCAACGGCACGGAGCTGGCAGCGTGGTTGGAGCAAAGAGGCCGGGCGTTGTGGGGGGTTGGTTAGGGGGGCAAAAGGGGCTATTGTTGACCACTTTAAGCCCCGCGTACCGCTAAGAGCCCCGGGCGCCTAGTTCGTTGAGAGAAAGACTCGATCGTGCACGTTAATGCCCGATGACGGCCGAGGGCCGTGAAGCGGGTCGCTACGTCATTTAACCCTCTGCAGGATGCGTAGACACGCGCAACCCATGTACGAGTAGACGCAGTGAAGAGATTTCGTGCGTAGGAAACGGAGCACGCAGTGAGGATATTGGCGGCCTGCCTCTTTTGCCCATGTTTGTGTCTCCCTGCCGCAGTGTCCACTGCCCCCATTCAGGCCTGCTGCGGGGGACAGGCGAGGAGGGACGAGATGGAGATTGGAGAAGTCAAGACTCCAAGTTGAGAGCCACAGAGGACCCCCCCCCCACTAAGGATCTGAACCTCCGGATATGGCAGCCAGAGTTGACGTGAAAAGACTCAAGGAGTACAGTCTGAGCTTCTTTGGTGGATACGACCCGTTTGGTGTCCACAGTCTCTCATGTTTGATGCAAGGTTGACGGCTCTTTGGAAGTTGGAGCTGTAACTCCGGAGTGATGGGATGAGATGAAGCCGGCCGCAGTGCAGTGTATCCATTATTGACCGAGCCGAGATAATGTGCAATGGTACGTTGAGATCGCACCATGGCCCGGGCATGCTGACTTTCCCATCAGGGCCATCACTATTGCCTTGCTCATGCTGCCTTGCTGTGCTGACTTGCGGTTGGCTGTTTCCGGAGCAAATCCTCCTCAAAGCAACCAACCGCAGCTATGGTTTGTCTTCTCCGCACTCTTGTCAACTCTCCGTGCGGGCTTCGAGTTTCGTCTGAGAAAACCGTGGAACACGGGTAGAAAGCTGTCGAGAGGAGGGGTCCCCATGGTTTTAACGCTCTCCAGCATCAAGTTAACAGCCCATCGTCGGTCGACACGCTGTGTGTCCCGGGTTTCTTCCAAGGAACTGCGTTGTCAGATGATCATGGTGGTGACGACAATGATGATGATGCCGCCGTCGAAGACTTCCGAGAAACAGATTGTACGCCCTCATTTCCCATGAACCTGCTTCGTAGGTACGGGGACGACCTTTACGTGTACCTATCCGTACGCCATCCTCTTCTTGTCTCACCGGCACGGATGGAATGAGGTTCTGGGGCTGACACCGGAGATGGGGGCCAAAATTGCCAATCGGATCCTTGCTCTCGTCTTCATGCTGTGTTCTCGAACAAGAGAACGTCCGGGCCGTTCCCCCAGTCTCATCAAAATCCTTTCTTCATCGGTGGCCTCTTCTGGCCCTGGCCGCTGAAGCGAGCGAGGGCCATTGAGAGAGGCCTTATCAGAGCAATGCCATGCCTGCAAACACCAGAATTCCATGGGTATCTTTTTTTTATCTGATGGGTGCCACAATGCTGCAGCCCTCGCGTGCGAAAGTTGGCAGTGCCCTGGCTCGTTCTGGCAAACCTCGCGCAGATCAGTGGAGCTTGTCGTCGGTCGAGAAACGCCCTGTCCCTCCATTGAGGTTGCGACGCATTCCGACTTGCGCGGCGAGGTACACCAAAGTGACTCCATTGCTTGTGCTTTGACCGAGTACCGCAACACCCTCTTCAGACCTGGAGCCGACGACGTGGCCACTGGTGAGAACAGAAGACGAAGCCGTTGTCTCCAAGACATATGCACCGTACCTCGGGGGAAAATCAGGATTTGACCTTCGCATATTTCCTGCTAAGGGGCTCCAAGCGGCATCTCGAACCCGGAGGTCGCACTTGGAAGCCAGAATACCGGATTCAATTCGAGAATAGCATGCCACCTCTGCTTATCGATCCGTCCCGTTGACCTGGCATCAATCCGGAGTCTCGTGGGGCACCTCTACTCGCGACCCACGCGGGTTGGCGCCTCCTTCAGCCGTTGCGTGGCACGGGAGGAGGGCGTATGGTAACCAAACTGGACAAGTCCGGGTTCTGTGCCTGACGATGACCAGGGCGAACAACGATGTGTCTTGAATTACAGCCTTGAAATGGGACGACGACGGCGAAGACAAAACGACACGTCTGCAATCACGATCTCCCCACGCCCCTCGCAGAATCGCGTCTCGTAGGGGACTGTTGATAGTGGGGATTTCGGTATCGTTTGTGTCAGCTGGCTCTTGATTGCGTCATTACTTGTAAATTCGTTCGAGTCGCCTCGGACGCGGTACCAGGCCGGTGCAGTCGAGATTGATCTCGTGAGCTTTCTTGCAGGACATTTGGGAAACCCCCCACAAACAACCGTGCCATCCGAATTAGGATGTGAGATTTCTGTAAAGTTATCGGGTCTGACGATTTCGGGCTGGGGACATTCTAGCTTTGGCCCGGATCTTGCGTACGGGGTGACTAGGCAGTCGGATCAGTCCCGGGTTCTAGCGCAGGCTGAGTTACAGCCAGATGATTGCTGCATGATGTGCTAAGAACGCGTAGGAATGATTCCAGGCAGGTTTTCTGGGCGAAACACACCGCTCTGGCATGATTCCTTCTTCCCCGGAGGTGTTGAAGACAATCAAGGAAACCTCTCACTGTGTGTGGTCGCATCCAAAGCCTCCCTCTGCGACACGTCAAATAGGAGCCGAGCGAGATGCGGCTGTTGAACTGGAGAAAGTAGAAAGTGTTGCTCCCCGCCAGGACAGCGTTGAAGACCCAAAGCCATCCAATCATACATTTTGTTGGCGAAGATGTATGTAGCACCATAATTGTGATTGATCGACACTTTGGGGATGTCAAGCAGGCCCTCCCGGCTGCAAGGACAAAGCATTCCCCATGTCAATCCGTACTTTGCTCCCAAGAATTGGAGTTCTGGACGGAAGATCCGGAAGCTGACGCGCGCCGGGAGCGACTCGGAAGCCGAGCCCTGGTCTCGTCGTCGACTCCTGTCCTCCGTCGACTCCTGTCCTCCGCCGGCTTCCTCCACCTCGTCGCCGAGTGGATATGAAGACGCAAACTTTAATTGAGGTTCAGTCCAGTCTCGACTCCGCTCGCGACGTGGGATGCTTGGCCAAAAAAAGATGTTTGCCGGTTGCTTGCCAGCCTCACCGCCCCTTGATTTTCGATCGATGCTCTCGTCTCTTCGATGCGACACAGAGCTGACTCAAGAGGCTGAGGAAGCCCCCGATGATGGCTTCGGCTGGGCGCCTCTCTCAAGTCGACTATTGGGCGTGCATTGGTGGTCCTCTGCTTGTCGCCCGCCAGCACTCATTCCTAGCATTTCAATGAGGCGCAGCGTAGTGGTAAATTCGAATACAGTGCTCCCGTCATTCGAAAGGCACGGCCGCCACACCTAGACGTCCGCACTGTGTTCGCGTTGTCTGGGGGCTCGTCCCAACCTTCACCTGGTTCCGCATCCGGCTCACCGGCCACTCAGGGCGTCGGACATGTTTGGCGCTCACTGATGCCGGAGACCGTCATTCATCACCAGATGGATCTTCCGTCTCCGGTCTTCAGCGTCGATCCCAGAGCGAGATCCAACAATGGCATGTTCCCAGGGCTGAGCTGCGATCCCCACCTTATCACCTATGCCTTCTTCTTCCCCTCTCGATGGTCGGTGATGCATCAGCTCGAAATCTAGATCGATGATCTGACAATACCACAAACTCGACTATGCCTCGGGCGTGGTTGACTGGTTGCAAGAGTCAGGTTGGCGACATGGCAGTGTCTGAAGTCACACTCTCCCAGAACCCCTGGAACCTTGTGGACAGCGGTGCCTGGGGAGTCGGGACGCGAGGAGACGTCTGTTGTCTGGGGAAGAAAACGCCACCTTCGGCGCCTCCGCGTGGAAACAAAGAATTCATGATACGTAGCAGAGTTCGACCATCGTTCCTCGTCTGTCCTGCAAATTGATGCCGACCTTTGGTTCATTCCATTTGAGGCCATCGAGCCGTCCCCAACGAAACATAGTGACGAATCAGGAGCCCTTGCCAGGACCGCAGCATGAAGCTGAGAGGGACCGGGGCCCACTAGGTGTCAGGCAAAAAAATCCCCGGTGCTCCAAAGCTGTAAGAAATCAACATTGGATGATGTGATGATCCTGGTCAACCATCAGACCACCGCTCAGAGCCGGCAATTCCCTGGAATGCGCATCAAGCATGTGCAAAGACAGAGTTCGAGGCCAGATTGCGTTCTTCTGATGCAATGTTGTAGCTTCGTATCTCGATACAATCAAATGGATCATGATCGGTTCTTTGTCATCAAACGTGGGTCGATGATGTTCGGCCAGTGCTTGTAGTATACGTATGAAAAGAGATGGCGATCATGGGGATGACTTTGCCGCGGTCGCCAAGCTCAAGCGAGCACGCGAGTTCTTATCCGCACTGCGGTAGGGTAACTGGAATACTTCGTATCCAAAGCCGTTGACTCCGTTTCTCCGTCGATCCTCGCCCAGAAGGTGGCCAGCCACTGCAGGTATACTTCAGGGTCCTCTGCACATGAAGGTCGGTAGGGTCCCGTTGTATCAGGGGACCTGTTGCGGAGAGGACAGCTAGGCTGTGTGCGGTGGAAGTGCGCCATTGGCCATCTCAGAAAAATGACAGAGACACCTCTGTGACCTGGAATGTGTGTGCCCTCAGCTTATTGCATGATGCCCGGGATGAGGTTGTCGACTCAGGCTACGTCTCGGGTCCGCTCTCGGAACCACATCCAAGGGACCCTTATCAGAAGCCAAGGGCACAGAGGGAACATCAGTCTTCGTAGTCAATATCAGATCAGTTGATGTGACAGATGATGTGTGACTTGGTGCTACCTTTCAACATCCCCATTGTATTTGACGCAATCTCTTCCGTCACCCTGCAGGATCTTGTTGGCCTCGTTACTGTAGTTGGCTGAGCAAGCCTCGTGCAATCGGCAAGCTCTACGTCAGACCGAACGATTCCCATAGTGAGGTAATTGGAACGAAGCAAGTCTGTGAATCAAGCGATGGTGGGAGGGAGGGATGCCGCACTCTACAGTACAATGAGCTGTAGACTCCGGGCCGTCCAGGTGTCCGGCCGGTTGATTGACAGGCGGCCACCGAACCGCTGATCCCCGTGTACGGATACTGGACGCCGGTCTAGGGTGTAAGTGTGCCCCGCCGCCCGGCTCGCGATAGGTGTGGCTTGCACAATGACTTGCGCGCTTTGTTCGAGGATTGCTGCTTCCGTGACGGCCGGGCCACGATGAGATCCTTGTTGAGATGCCATGAGCAGGGGCAAATTTAGCATCTTTGATGGGCGACTAGCGAATCAGGGGCAAACGATGTACGTTTTGGGCATCTCGGATTGCGACTTCAAAGATAACGAGACGCGGTGAGACGTGCTTGCGGGAGGTGTCGCTAACCCAGCGGCGCAAGGTGTGCCTGGGTGATGGCACACAAACAAGCAAGCAACCGCAAATTTTCACCACGGTGTACAGAGTAGAGGCGCTAACAAGGCATTTGACTGCGAGATGCAGCCCTTTGAGTCGCCAGCCACTCTTAGTATTCCGCACCCACTCGAAAGGTATCCCGCACCCTCTCAACAATGCCAACTTCTCACCTAAAACGCTCTCTTTCAAAAGACGATTTTGATCCAAACAAAGTACCTGCAGAAGCGCCTGAATCGGCAGATTTCTAGGGTACCTTTTTTGATCAGAAATCTAGGCGAAAAATGATCGTTTTTGTGCCTTAAAGACGGTGCTTCGGGGACCAAAACTTCCTCATTTGAAGCTCGAGCTTACACGTGACCGTCTGTTGGTGATTCCTCTGCAAAAGTCTGCTGGATTGGGCCTAGTATGGGTGCGGGATACCTTTTGTGTGGGTGCGGAATAGCCGTCCTCCTATTTCCAGGTTTCTTGCCAAGATGGCCCGGCATCCATTGACCGTCGAGGGGCCAAGTTGGGTGAACGAGAGCGTTGGGTGATGGCATTTGTCTGAGAGAGCATGATTGATAACCGGCGTACCATGCCATGTAGTGGACACCTTTAGCTGAGACGATAAGAGGAAGGCGAGGGGCATAGGCATCTCGCGCATGTTTCCCCGGAATGCAAGCTGTGAGTAATACTTTGACACATGTGCTGATATCCATGGGAGGCGAGATTGAGGGCAAGGTGGATTATCAGTTTGCGTGATGCGATGAAGGCTGAAGCGCAACCGGATGGAGCTCTTGATGAAGCGATTCCCCACCTGAGATCCTGCCATGCATGCCATGGCGCTTTCAGATGTCGATGGGCGTTCTGCACGAATTTGAAAAGAGGCCAGTGAGGATTTGCATCGTTCGATACCCATGTCGCCCTCCCTGGACCTGGGCGAAGAAGTCTCCGAAAGGCCGAAAGCTGATTGACGATGCCCTTGATTCTTGAAAACGACTGTGACAGAGGTGGCTCTGGGCGAAGCCCAAGCAAGTGAAGGGGCTTGGCTGGACCTACGGTAGTGGCGTGCGTGGGTTTTTACGCCTCAAGCGAGGCCATGCAGTTCAATGACCGCTTCTCAGCCCCTGCGGCTCCCACTCGTCACTGGCCGGAGCCATGCCTTGCTGCATGCCGCTGAGTGCATGCTGTGAGTGCTCGCAGTTGCTGCCCCTACTTCGTACTCCGTACTCTGTGTCGGAGGTGAGCATAGAAGTGGATGGTGGATGTAGGTACTTTAGGTATGTGAGTGGGAATGGGGAACAAGGGCCAGTGGAGATCCGTACTCCGTACGGAGTGCAAGTGGATGACCTGAAAAGAGGCTGCATCTGCGCGCAAGCCATCGACCGAGAGGGACGAGAAGCTGCCTGCCAACCGAAAGTCGAAGGGCGACGACAAGAGCGAAGGTTGATTCCTTGTTGTACTCGTAGTGGAGTCGTTGCTCGCTGGACAGTTGCAGAACAAAAGTCAAGACGAAGAATATGGAGTGTTGCACGGCGCCGAGAATTGAGATGTCGATAGGTCCCCGCCCGAAGCGGTACAGCGGTTGGATAGGATGGATAGGCCTCCAATATCTGCAGTTGCGGCAATTTCGCAGAAGCTGTGGTTCTTGCTGCTGACCGAGACCTCAGTACCTGGCCCCGAGACTGGTCCGGTGAAGACGGTGGTGGTGAGGGAGTGTGTCGGTCCAGTGGCCCCGGTGCCGGTGTTCGGGGAGAGAGGGTGGCACATTGACCAGATAAGCAGTGCCCAGGATTCGTAGTGGCGGGCGGGTTGGACCGCAGACACCTCAGCGTCGGTTCAAAGCCGCTGCGAAGTAAGACGATTCCTGGGATGACGACGGCAATTTATTAGAGTGCGGCGGAATGACCTTGTAGTGGTACGCCGGAATTCTCCAACTGCAACTCTAAAAGGCCCAACGTTGGATGCAGCATACTACTGGATGGACGAGTGTCGTTGAGAGAAGCGAGGGTTTCTACGGATAGAATACATGGCTTGGTTGGGTGAGGACCAGGTCAAGACGGAAATGATCCAGCGTGAGGGTGAAGGCGTCTGAGGGTTGAATGGAGGAATATCTCGATCGGTGAGAATGCTAGGTATGCTACGACACATAATGGGAGATGGTGTTGAGATGGCTGGAAGATGCGTGCGTGTATCGTTCATTTCCATGATAGTCTCCACCGATGCCGAAAACAGCTGGTCCTAGTATGCCAACACCTCGTTGCGTTTCTTCTGCATGCTCGCTGCTGCGATGTGCTGGGCGTTGTTTGAAGGCATTCCCTGTCCGGAAACAGTTCCACCTGGATTGTATCGACGGTAGTAGACTTTTTTGGGTGTAGCAGCTGGTCCTACGGTATTGGCTGGTATGTAAAGGTGACACGGTGCCGATGGTAATGGATATAGATAAGCATAGGAACGGCGAGCGGCATCTCCGCGCGCCAGAGAGAAAGAGAGAGTCCGTGCCGGTGAGGTCCGTGGATGAGCGATGGTTTGTGTGTGGTTGTGGGATCAAAATGTCGATGTGGGTGGTGGAGTGCGGTCGGGGCGGGCGATGTGATGTTGCAGCGGGAATTGACTTCACTCTCACTTTTTTTTTTGGTGGGGGAAAGAACCTCGAGGCTCAAAGTGTTTCCTTTCTTTCTTTGGTGAGTTTCTTTTTCTTTTGTGGGGGTGGCCCAGCACGGGCAGGAAGACTCCAAAGAAGAGACGACGGGAGGCCAGACTTCTTGACTGATTCCATCAAGTGGGACCCCCCCTGCTCTTTCCTTCCACAGCTGCCCCTCCTTCCCTCCTTCCTTTTCTCTTTGCGATGACAGCCTTGGGCCCTTCCCACCTTGCTGCCTTCTGGTTGGTCAGTAACGGTTCCTTCCCTCCCTTTCGGTAAAAATGGTAAAGGTCGACTCCATCTCCTTCCTGCTGAATCATCCCCATCCAGTCGTCGTCTCCGCGTCTAACGAGGTACGTACTCTGCCTCCCACTTGCCCCTTCCCCGTCGTCTCCGTCCTTTCCCAAAACGGGTGCGGTCGAGGCGCACACACTCACAAACTGCAAGAGCCTCCAGGCCAAAATCCCATCCCAACGGCGTGCGGCCTGCCCCGGTCTCCGGTCTCCACTTCTGAAGCGATGAATACGGATTCAGATGTATTAAGGAGAAAGTGAAAAAAGGAAGCAAAAAACCCGCAACGCAGATATCCTTACTCCGTGTACCTGCTCCGTAAGAAGTACCTAGATTTGAGAACTAACACGCCGTGAACATCAAAGGTGTCCAATGCTTCAACATATCAACCCTGGTGGTCAAGCGCTTGCGCATCCAGTGAGATTTGTTGCCGACAGCTCGGGCCAATCCGAGAATATGCTCCGTGCGCCACTGCGTGCGTTACTGCGTGCGTGTTGCGTTGTTGCTGTCGCTTTCGCGCTTCGTCTGGTCTTTCTGGGGCAAGTCTTGAGCCGCCGAATGCCCATAGCGGTGCCTGCTCTTACCCCAATCGAAACGCAGTTTGCAAGGAGCATGAGTTGCTGCCATTGACGAGGCATTTTGTAAAGGGCATCTCCCTCCAAAGGCCCCGCCCATCGCCGATGCACAAGAGTAACCTAACAGACCCAGTGTGAAGCAAGAGTCTGAGAGAGCGGTGACAGTCTCTCTCCCCTTGGATCGGTTGGCTCGGGTGGAACAAAAACAAGGTATTGCTATCGCCATCGCCAATGCAACCATCGGCAATGGCAGCGCAATATAGTGCGACAATGCGTGTGCGCCATTTCTGTGACGACTCGGGCGACTCGTATATAGGTAGCCCGCTGGTCTAGATCTCAACCCTCGCCCAGCCGTTTCTTGGCCGGAATGAGACATTTTGACGACAAAAAGTTCTTCACGCCGTTGCCGCCAGTAGGCAGCGTGGGAGCGCATGTCTCTGATGAGAGGGTGATGCATCAATTGGTTCTCGCTGCAGGCAGCCGCTCCGCAAAAGGGACAATAGTCAAGTTCTCGCAGTCGCACTATCATTTCCGTCAGCATCAAGGCTGTTCATGCCATCCATACCAGGCGCCGGTAGGGTAAGTGGTGCCAACGGCCATGATGGAAGCTGATGCCGGCATCGGTGCCGTTGCTATCGCCAGCCCTAGCCCAGCTGGAGCGCGACGAACTATCCGTACCGCATCTGACACTCGATTCCCTGGATTCATCAGTCATCAACAACAGAGCGGGTCAGCATAGTCTTAGCGCTTCCAAAGACACAGCGCAAATAACACACAACGTGCCATCAAAAGTTACCTTAACCTGCATCCAAAAAAAAAAAAAGAGGGTGCAATATTGTCCGACACTAACTCTGACCCTTCTGCATGTCTCGTCCGTGGCCTGCTTCTGCTCCCAACTGCATTCCAATGGTAGGAAATTGGCCCCCAAAGCAATAGCATAGCCAAAGGAAACGAAGCTTTTCGCAGGAGTGTTTGATGTTTGTCACGGATTCGGCCATGTTGAGAATAGTTCCAAAGCAAACTTGCGGGGACGACCACCTTGGAGAAATGGTGGATGGAATGTGGGAAAAGGTTGGAATGTGGACCGAACTGGTCTCGTTTTTTTCCCTTTCTTCTTTTCCTTGTCCTTGACATCCATGCTCCCATCCCCCATCTTCGTCCAGTGTCTCGAGTGCTGGTTCCACCTTCGTTCTGCTTCGTGTCGCCGTTGCTTTCAGGTGGAGACCCGGGGGCTGGTCTTATTTCGTTCCGTTTTTGTCTGCGGACGGGCGCCGGCCGATCAGATCATCAGAACGGGGCCGCGGGGGGCAGATACTGCAACTGCAGATACTGGAGCCATTTTCTTTTCTTTGCTGCGTGTCAACGGCGGGCCAAGTCTTCCCAGGGTGGCCCCAATAATCATTGATCAAGTTCGAGCTGAGCAGGGCTGGAGCCGATATCGAACGGTTGCTCGAGTCGTGGCCATATCCATCCTTTAACGACGTCGATTGTCGATGGCAGCAAGAACCAGGCCGGCGGTGTGAATAGAAAGACAAAAAAGAGGGAGAGAAAAAAGCATGCTGACAGTGAGACGCGACCGAGACGCGCCTCGCCCGACAAGAGTCAGAATGACACCTTCCGTAGAGAAGACATCCAGGCAGGCGGCGTGGTGGTTTCGGGTTTCCTGATAACGTATCCGTAGAAAGAACGTCTCTGATAAGACGAGGTGGTCGAGATAAGGTCCAACGTTTGAAGGTGATGTAATGTGCGGCGGCTTTGCTATCCGCAGTAAGATGGATCGTGGGCCAAATCGGATAGAAAGGGAGTGCTAGCGACCCGAGGAATCGTGCACCCGTCGTGGGCCACGTCGTGGTGTGGCTGGAGAGTGGGAGTGAAGTGTTTCCATGAGGAGTACCTTTAAGGACAGCTCCTCTCCCCCACTTAAAAAAAAAAAAAACTCACGATGCTTTGCGTTGAGCTGCGAGCCTGCGAGGTAGGCACGCCGCACGACACGCACCCAAAATGGCAAGGGAAAGCAAGCTAACTGCCCAGTCAAGCGAAGAAAGAGCGGGCGGACGACGCGACGACGATGGTAGGTGCGCCTGCCGCCAATGACAATTTGAACCAACAATGACATCATGCTTTCCCTAGGACCCAAACTTTTTGCATTGTGACTTCCTCACCGGATCTTTTGCACCTGAGAGTCGGGTTCCCCATCCGTGTGTGTGCCAAACAAGCATCGTGAGATGACAATGGAAGCTTCCTTGGGCCGGGGGGGACACTGGGGGAAGGGTTGGGGCTTGTTTCGTCTATTACGAGACTGCCCTGTCCCTCCTATCGCCTGTCGGTTCTTTCGCGTGTCGCAAGCAGTGCACAAGTCAGGTCGTACTTACCACTTCGTACCGACAGCAAGGTGTGCGCGCGGGCAAGAACTTCAGTTCCGGCCCCGGGCAGATAGGACAGGACAGGGCAAGGGCAGGTAGGGCAGGGTCGTTGCTTCCAAAACGTGAACCCATGCCTTCCTTACCTGCCTCAGTGCCTGTGCCTGCCTGCCTGCGTCGGTCTGTGCCTGCGTCTTCTACGCGGCATGGCCTGGGCCGCTTGGCCTGGGCTGAGCCGACTGGGGCTGGTGAAAGCGACGTGGGGCCATGTCAAGCGTACAGTGCCGAAGACAAGCGACAGCCGGGACGAGAGAAGGCACGCAGACCTCACAGAGAGACAAGAGGCGCCACAATCTCCGTCCCCGGCTCGATGACGATGGAAACAGAAACTCTCCTACCGGCCGCCCTGCCAACAGTCTGTCTCGACCTTTCCGTCCGAGATGAGGTATGCCGCGGCATGGCGGCCATGATGCAAACGAGATTCGAGACATGACGGAGCTAATTGAGAACGATTAAGGCCAAACAGCGGCTCGATCATGGATGGTCTGGGGTAAGCAGTTGGGGCAAGTTAAGAGCATCACCGAAACACGAGACACGGTGCTACGGATACAGACTGTCGAGGAAAAGGCTAATAGACCTTCAAGGAGGCAGATATGGGGTAGTGCCGGGCCAACTCTAGAGACAATGTCCGGCTGGAGCCGCAAACACTCTGATCGTCAACTACCTCAGTCCTCCAACCACAAACTTGAGCCGACTGGATGCGTTGCGATGCTATGCGGCGGGATGCCAAGTTTAGACTCTCTCTTCGTCCCAACTCCTTTCACTTTTGTCGGTCGATGTTGGAACAGGACAAGAACAGACCTGATACTCCCGACTCCCGCACATGGCGCCAAGATGTATACTCTCGACAAGCTATCAGTATCGACTGCGAGTAGGCCAATAGCTTTTATGGACACGATTCCGGCATAAGCAGTACGATGCCAATCCGACAACTCTCAACGTTGCATTGCTCCCCGACTTGCTGTATGGCATAGGTATGCTGATGGACAGATTATAGAAACCTCAGGCCATTCTGCAGCGATGGTGTTGTACAGAAAGGCTCCAACCCCAAGTCTACGGAGTACAAGTAACCACTATCGAGGCTATCGAGTCTTGAGTCTTATTAACAGTAAGAGAGAGCTGCGGGTTGTCATGCTCTTTGATGAGAGAATGATGGGACCATTATTTTAAATCAGCACCAACGCTAAATTGACTAGGAACCCTGTCCCTGCTCCTGCCCCCGTCTCTCTCCTTCGCCTTTGACCCAGCCGGTACGTACTTCTTTCCATCCCTGCTAGCGCATCTTGAAGTTTTCCACTCTTTTTTCGAAAGAGAGAAAAGAAAGGACCCCACCCTGAATCCGTACCGTCCTATCAAAGATGCTTTACTTCGTACTGTCTCTTAGTCACCCCGGCACGCTGTTTCCTGTACGCCGTACTGTGCGTGGTCGCCGGTGAATCTCTCAGGGATTGTTTGGCCTGGCTGTGGCTCAACTTCTCTGCTGCCATTTGCTTCCCATCAACCAGTCTTGACCGAGAGGACGTGTACCACCACCACCACCACCACCACAAACCAAGAAACCAAGGTGGAAGCAAGATCAGACCAGACTGCTTACTCCTCCCGTCCCGCCCCTGCTACGAGTCTCTCCCCGGACGGAACCTTGGCTTTCTCACCTTTCCTCACCTGTCCCTGCTCTCCTCCAGCGACTTCATGTTTCAACCGTCGTCTGCTCTCGGCATCTCGCACTGCGCGTCGTCGCGGCATGGATTGGCTCAGCATATCTGTCCAGGCGCAGGCGGAGGCGTGCCAGGCATGGAGATTATGGATATGACAGGCAGGGTGGGGGGAGTGGGTGGATGGCCAGGGCCGGTCATCGCTGATCTGTTCTGACTCTACCGGAAACCTCAACGTCCTTCCTCCCGCACCCAGAAACCCTCGATACCGGAGGGGACGGACGCAACGGTAATGGCTGGTAGCAGCCATCGATTATTGCGGGAGAGAGAGGGGGAAAGATGGAACAAGACATACAGAAAGTGACATTGTCTTATTCCTCATCCCACCTCCCAATTGACATTTGCCGTCTCTCGAAGGAAGCAAAAGCTGCCGTGCTCATCCAGAGATTCTGCCCAGTGGCCAAACACCCATGCATCCATCTCACACATGTTCTTCATCCGTCCAAGGAAAACAAGAAGGGCATGAACCAGATGCAATGCAAACCAAGCCCCGGGCAAGACCAGACCTGGAGTCAACCACCCGCATCTTCAAGCCTCTCAAGCCAGCCCGCCGCCGCCGCCTCCAGCTTCTCCAACTTTTGGGCCAGTTGCGAATGAACTGCACTTGGCCAGATAGTGGCAGAAGGGGCTCCCGGGAGGCAAAGGAGAGACTGAGAAGTAACATGGTGACAGAGACAGAGGGGAGGGTGTGACTACAGCCAGTCTTGCCAGTCTTGCCAGCGCCTATGGATACAGATACCTACTCGCTCTGTCTTTCTTTGGCGCTTTTCTGCCATTCTTGCAACACCATGAGCATCACGCCAACACCATGCCGTTCCCTCTCTTACTTCTCCATGGCCAAGTTCGAAGTCTCCACCTCCCGCTGATACAGGATCGTCAGTGTCAGGTAGCTTGCAGCGGAGCACACTTGTCGTGTCGTGCGTGTCGGTCCCCTCCATGGCGGGCGACCAACAACAGGAGAGTGGCCGCAGGACCAGCAGCAAATGGTGTTGGTGGTGGTGATGGACATGCAGGAATTAGTTGCCCTGGATCGTCAGCAAGCTCCGGATACCTTGCTGCCTCGAGTATGCTCTGCAGACGGTATCCGTACATTCAAGGCCCTCGAGTGCTCGAGTGCATCTTCTTCTACCTATGGATGGACGAACACTATCGAGCAATTCAAGCCAGATCGAATGCCATGCCACAGTAGACAGCTGGTCGTAGGTACTGTTCCTCCACACGTAGAATGATTATCTGCAAGGTGAGATACCTAGATAGACCAACAAGCCAGTTTCCCCTCAACGCAAGTAGCAATTGCAGAGCCCAGCCGGCTTGCCGTCTCCGTGCTACCATCCCACGCAGCGTCGCCTCGTCTTGTTTAGTATTTTGCTGGATGGTCGCTCTTTCCTTTTTTTTTCTTCCTGCTCTTCCTTTCTCGGTCTGGCTTGGCCCCACACCCCGTCGCCGCCGCGTTCCTTAGCGTTGAATCTTGCTCCAGCCACACCCCAACCTTTTTTTCCTCTCCTTCCTTCCTTCCCCCGGGCGGGCCATGGATGGAGTACGTACTCTTTGATGTATTCGTACCCACATTGTGTTGCTGCCTCTCATCCTCGCAGCGCAGGTGTGCAGCTGTGCGCCATGGTTCCTCGCCTTCTTCGTCTTCTCTTCCACAGACAGACGGTCTCCCACACTGCAAGTTCTCAACATCCTCCACACACACCCCCCGGTCTCCCCTGCTTGACCGAACATGTCCACGCCCATCATGGACCACCCCCCTTTGGCCACCCTGGTCTCTTTTGGACTTTCTCGCCGTCTCTCGCACTTGCAGGGATGCTCCTGACCATCAGGTACGTGCTACTGCGACTCCCGCCGCCTGGGAACAGAGAGGAGCTGGGGGGCGTGGGCCATGTACGAAGTACGGAGTAACCTACAGGCTATGGGATATCTGTGTGCAGTGAGGGTGGGAAAGTGGCTGCTTTTGCTGGCTGGCGTCTGTCACACTTTGCACCCATTTCTCACTTTTCCCTGCTCTCGCTCTCTCTCGCCCATCGCTGACCCTGATCCTAGTCTTTTCGCTCGTCTCTTTTGCTGGGGGCGTGGCACCCGTGGGTGTGCTGGAACCAAAACAGACCACACCAGACAGACCCGAACTGAGAGGTGCCTGGTACCGGTAGCTTTTTTCTTTCTCTCTTCTTGCTGGGAGCGGCGGTGGTGTTGCACACACCACCACTGGCACACACACCAACACACGCACGCACTTGGCTGCCGCCGGCCCCCCCAGTCTCCCACGCTCTGCTGAGGTACTTTGTACTGAGCGCGGACTGCGGTGCTCGGAACTCGCTCACCATTCAAAACCACTCCGTTCCCTCCGGAGCCGCCCACCAGCTTGTTCTCTCTCCAATCTTTGTGTGCTCCAAACACCAAAGTCCAACAACCTCGACATCCACAGCACAAAAAAAGTCAAGTCGTCTCAAGAGACAACCAACATCTCGTTGCTCTCTTGCATCCTTCCTGACATACGACACTTGCCTTCCGACAGCAAGAGCAGGAACCCCAAACGAAAGACGGACAGACCCAATCACCCTGTCCAAGTACGAGACACCAGAACCGAAAAAAGAGAGTCAACGGCATAACTCTCTCTCGACCAAGGCACGGAAGGAAAGGATTGACCCCCATAGTTTTGCACCTATTCGGCTGGTCTCCTCTACCCTCTACCTCTTTTCGATCAGTCAAGCTCGACCCAGAACCTGACCGACCACACGATCCCCACGAACGTCGCAAGCCACCTTGTAGGACGTCCAATCGCCTCGCCCTGCATCGGCCCCTTCTTCCTTGCGAGACACTCGAGCCTCGTACTTCCCCAGCTCGTCATTGCATTCCACCTGCTTCGACGACATCTCCACGGGACCCTCCTCCCCAGCTACCGACATTCCTCGTCACAAACAAGACGAGAGAGTTTCTTGCCCTGTTGCTGGAACATTGCCAGTGCAGAAAACTCGACTGTCGCCCGCCGTCCCTTCCTCGACCCTTCTCTCCCTCCATGTAAGTGGTCAACTACGACTCCTACAAAAAAACGTAATACACCTGTAAAAACACCAAATTTTTTTTTTTACTTCACCACCTTCGTCATCATTACCTCCTTCTTTTTTCTTTCTCCATTGCCCTATCACTTTTTTCAGCCTTGCCTCTTTCCTTCGTCGTGTTCTTGACAATCTTATCTTGGGAATTGCGTTTCCCACAGCCACCAAAGCTACAGCCAGCAGCTTTTATTTCTTTCCTTGAGAATTTCCCTCTCTACCTAGTTCTGTTCCCTTATTTTTCTTCTTAAGCAGTTCAGTCATCAGAATAGATGCACCACAACCAATTTCCTTGCCCGACTAAATAACCCTAAAGCCTCCCATGGCCGCGACAGAGCTGACGGGATCCTTCCAATAACACAGAAATCCTAATTTCCTACCAGCGTCTCGTCGCTCCTCCTCGGCCGCTCCGCCTCTCATCCTAATTCTTCGCTGAATTGATACCTATTTGCTTTTCTACCACCACTCCTCTCGAGCCGACACACTTAACCCGTGCCGGGCGCACGATTCCGACCTCTTCACACCACCCTTATCCAGCACATTCTCCGTACACAACAGCGGGAATGCCTTACACACCCCCCTCCCACCACCGATCGCCAGCAAGCTCAGCGCCGTCATCGCCCGACGTGAGCAGACGTTCCTCCTTCCAGTCCAGCCCCAGACCGTCACTACCAAGGTCAGCATCATACCTCACCAAGCACAGGAGAACGCCGGCAGCGGCAACAGGTGTTCCCACAACAAATGGCAACTCAGACCAGCCTACACCACCAGGAACGTCGGACGATTTGAAGGGCATGGCCACTAACAGCAGCAGTGTGAGGCAATCACCGCCGCCACTGACCGACGAGCGCGGCATGCCCATGGGCGCCATTATTTCACCACCCGACTCGGGAAGCGAAGAGGAGGATGTTACAGAACGTGGAAGGAAGATCGAGAACCTTAAGGAGCTTCAGGACGCCATCAGCCAAATACCCGTTAAGAGGGAAGCCTCTCCGACCAGCTCCAAGCTCGACCAACCCGCGTTATCTCTCATCACCAAGGAAGACCTCCCCCAGGAGGGTCTGCCCACCAGCTTTAGCACCAGCTCCCTGGACGCCCTCGCCAAGACGGTCGCCCGCCGCGTTAACCATGTCAGATCCAGCACCGAGCCCAGAATAGTAATGGAGTCGGCTTCCATGACCGGCTCAGAGTCCGATTCGGACGGTAACAACTTCGAGAACAAGCCCCCCATGGTACGGAAGAAGTCTGGAGAGCTTGTCAGGCCCGCACTTCGGCCCGCATCTGCTCGCAGGCGGCCGTCAAGCATGCCTGGCACCCCGACCTTCTCCAAGGCCGTCCACTTCGACTCCCACCTCGAGCACGTCCGGCATTTCCTTCAGGTTGATCGGCCACTCGCTGTCAGTGCCGGGTCGTCGCCGGTCGATAACTACGACAGTGATACCGAGTACCCCTTCCCCGGAGAGGAACGCCAGAGCGCTCGCACTCCCCCATTCGAGTGGGAGATCGTCACGGCAAATCACCCTGTCGATACACCCATCCGCAAGTCCCTGCCTGTCCGCCTCGAGAGAGTTTGGTTGTCACCCGACCAGAAGAACTTGCTGGGCTCCATCGCCGTTGCCAACCTGGCATTCCAGAAATACGTTACGTGCAGATTCACTCTGGACTACTGGAAGACGACCTCGGAAGTTGGCGCTGAATACTCACACGAGGTCCGCGCTCAGGATGACAACGTCGCTCACGACCGATTCACGTTTAGCATCAAGCTCTCCGACTTGGCTAACCTCGAGACGAAGACGCTCTTCTTCTGCATCAAGTACAACGTCAATGGTCAGGAATACTGGGACAACAACAACGGTACCAACTTCCAAGTCGATTTTCGCAAGAAGCATCTGCCACAGAACGGCAAGCGAGGCCTGCAGGGCGCTGCTGGCCGCCCGGCGCTCCCCCGTAGCAACCGCCGCTCGAGCCCTTCTTCGGCGCCTCGGCCCAAGTCCATGCCTGTCGGCTTTGACGATTTCGGCAACCAGGGCAAGCTGAACTTTGACCAGCCCATCCACGAGTACCTGGGCGAGTCAGGCCCGACAGCGGGACTTCGTCTCAAGATCAACAAGTCTACTGGCAACTTGGCTAGCGATAACCTCTCCAGCCGACTGACTGCCCCCAGTGGACAGGCTTTCTCCAACCGCTACGACTTTGGTGCCTCCCTCACTGCCGCTGTTCAGGCCGCAAAGGACACCATTGGCAGCAAGGACCGCAACCAGGATGGTCTCTATATGAAGAGCCACCGCAAGATTCACGTTCCTGCGCAACAGCCCCAGCAGTCGAAGCCGGCCCCGGCCGTGACTGCTCCCCCTGTCTCCAAGCCGGTTGTCAAGCAGCCCACGGTCCCTGGCACCGACTCCCCCAACCCTTCCCTTGCCTCGTCATCATACGAGGAATTGGTCAACAAATACTGCTTTGTACGTACTTCTGG